TACTGGTGGCCCAAGATGAGAAGAGACATGGAGAAGTATGTCAAGGGGTGCGAAACTTGTCAACGCACAAAAACCAATATGCAGTAGAAGAAGGCACTGCTGCATCCCAACGAAGTCCCAAAAATGCCCTGGGACCACATCACTGTGGACATGATCACCAGACTTCCAGATTCCAAAGGATATGATGCAATTCTAGTAATTGTGGATAGGCTATCCAAGGCAATCATACTGGTACCATACACCAAGGAGTTGTCGTCCCTGGGATGGGCAAAAATACTACACAATGAAGTATACATTCGGTATGGGGTGCTTCCCTCAAAGATCATTTCCAACTGAGGACCCACCTTTGTTTCCAAGTTCATCAAAGAGTTTTATGCCATCATCAACATCAAGAGAAATCCCTCGACTGCCTATCATCCCCAGACCAATGGCCAGACGGAATGAGCAAATCAGGAGATCAACAAGTACTTGCACATGTTCATGAATTACTGGCAAGACAACTGGGTTGAATGGCTACCACTTGCAGCATTCACACACAATAATAGGAAGCACTCCTCTACAGGATACTCCCCCTATAAAGTGAACTTTGGATGAGATGGTCAAATGATGGTAAGGAAGGAGTCTAAGGGAGAGGTACCAGTGGTAGAAAAGTTCATCGATGACATGAAACAAACTCAAGGACAGGCAGTGAAAGCCTTGGAGAAAGTGGCGGAGAGCATGAAGAAGGCATATGATAAGCACAAAGGAAGTGCCGAATCATACAAGATGGGCGACAAGGTTTGGCTAGACACCAGCAACCTTCACCTTCCAAGACCAAAGAAAAAGCTGGATGACAAGCATGTAGGACCCTTCACAATCGAATCAAAACAAGGGGCCTCTGCTTACAAACTAAAGCTACTGGTCAACTGGAAAATCCATAATCGATTCAACGAGGCATTGCTAACACCCTACAACCCTCCCGAATTTCCCAATCAGCCAAAACCAAGTCGACCACTGCCAGACCTTATCGATGATGAAGAAGAATACGAGATAGAAGAGATAGTGGGAGAGAGAGATCAGGTGGTAGGAAGGGGAAAGACTCGATGAACTGTTACCAACTACCTCGTCAAATAGAAAGGGTATCTGGCTGAAGAAAACTCATGGGTAACCAGAACAAACATGGCCAACATGAAAACCTTGGTCAAAGAGTATGAGGCATGGATTCAAAAGATCCAGTGGACTAAAGAACCAAATGGAAAGGTCATGGGAAAAGATGACAAAATCCCTAACCCCTACAACGTACCTGACAGATTCCAAGAATGGCCTGAGGATATTGAAACCCCATATTGCTCAGACCGGGAAACCTTGAACTCACCTTCATACGTCACCCAATCCAAATGCTCCAAACATCTCGCTCCCATCGCTAATGCTTACGCCTCCAACGGCCAAAGTATCCAAGGTTGTCAGTCCATAACCTCATCATTCCTCCAACAAGTAAAAGAAACCGCTGAGCAAATGGACCAAGAACTTCAACAGTGCAACAAGAAATACCTTGAAGACAACAATCTCAAAGAGGACAAGAAATGGAAGTACAAGCCATACAAACCAGATCCCCACTTCGACAATGACAAAGTCCGAAATTTGTGGCTAAAAAGATACTGAGAGGAGGTCCAGAACTCAAGGAAAGAAGGCAGGCAGTTTTGAGAGCCACCTATTTTACTTGATCCACCCTCAGATGATGAATCGGACATCGAAAACCTTCAAAAGGTAGTCGAAAATTGGTTCAGCGAGGATGACAGCGATGCAGAAGGAGAGGAATACAAGTCTGACGGATCATTCAGGATGAATGAGTCTTAAGGAGGGGGTAATGTTATGATTTTTCCATTTTTTTTTATCTTTTCAGCGCTTGTCTTTGTCTTATCAGTGCATCCAAGCACTGGGACAGTTCACATGTTGTCCATGCTTGACCTTCATGTTGTAGCTGCGACACATGGACATCGTATGATTCTTTTTGTTTCATGCATGGTTACCGTTCAGTAGTGTACTATTATTAGCATACCAAAAGTGTATTTAAGTAGAGCCTCAGCTGGCCTAAACCCCAGCTTCGGCTAAGGTTTAATCTACCCAACTCAAAGCTCCTCGCTCCATGACTATCTAAGTCTAGTTACTAGCTCATAAGGCCAGCATTGCCTACATTGCGAATGATCCACCGAAGTGCGAGTGGTGTTCTCTTATTTGATATTATTTGTCAAGTTGGTGGCTAACAGAATCAGACACATGCAGAATGATCTCAGCAGCAGCAAGCCTCGCATGCTTGTCCCAGACAGTCTGTGTTCATGGTCCACTTGTGGGATGGGGTTCTGTACCTGAAACTATTCTCCACAAATCCTTCCGAATCAAATGCATTTCCATGTGGTACTTCCATGTGAAGTAATTCTCCTCACTCAGGAGATCAAATCGGTTGCTACTCTGATCTTCCATAGCTGGAGATATCAAAGTAGTATATAACGAAAGTATGTAACATGCCTGAAAAGGCGAGTATGCGGTGCCTAAAAAGGACTTCAGAAACAGGGTGCTAACCTAGAAAGGGTTTACAGTGACTGATACAATGATTTCACCTACATAGAAACGATTTACGGTGGCATAGAAATGACTTTTAATAACTTTGTCTACCTAAAGAGGAATTACAATGGTCTAGAAAGGACTTCGTGCACCAACCTAAAGAGGAATTACAGTGGCCTAGAGAGGACTTTTAATTACACCTGCCTAAAGAAGACTGATGGTGATCAACGTGTGGCTAGAAAGCTGGCTCAGGTGGTCCAAAAGAGAATGAGTGTGTAAGATGAGACTTCTACTGGGACTCGAGGCCCATAATCTGTTGGAACTCTAACAGTAAGAGGCTTGCAGTAGGAATAATACCTAATTGTTAGCTACTAGAGCTCCTAATGAGCTCCTTATATACTATGGAAAGTATCTAGAATATTCTACCTAAAGTACTAAATATATCCAAGTATTATGACAAATGAGTAAGCCGAAGCTTTGGGAATCTTCCAGTACAAGCTTGAAGTTGCAAATCCTAACAGATATGCCATAGGGTTCATAAATGATGCTTCTTCTCGCCATGGTGTATTCTTCCTGAAAAATATGCAAGCCAAAATGACCCTATCAGCTCTAGATTCATATACAATGGTCACAGAACATCAAACTGGACAGACATTGAAATGAATTTGGTGTGATAACGAGTTTGACTGTCAATTATAGCAAGACTGGGCAGCTGCCAGAGGAGTTTTGATTGAACCAATGGCACCATACTTGTCTGCTGCTAATGGCATTGCTGAGAGGACTTTCGGTATTGTCTTTGGCTCAGTGCAAATCATGCTTCTTAAAGCTGGGTTGTCCATGGGCTGGTGGGCAGAGGCTTGTGATTTTGCGATCAGAGTTAGAAACCTGCTCCCAACATCAAGGCATCCAGGAAAAATTCCAGAGGAAGTGTGGTCAAAAAAGCATCAGTCCATGGGGTACTTGTGAGTGTGGGGGAGTCCATGTTACGTGAAGATTCCAGAGGTGAAGAGAGAGAGTAAATTGGCTCTGCATAGTCAAAAGGGTTGCTTGATCAGATTGGCAGAGCATGGAACTTACTGAATTTTGCTTGATGGCTTGGGAAATCAGGTTATTACATCATGGGACATCGTATTCAAAGAGCTTGTTCCCACTCAGACTGTGCTTCTTCAGGGGGAGATTGTCAAGGATCTACTCAATAATCCAGAGGCAACAGTCCAGATGGATAACCCTCCTCCATTCTTAGGCTGACAATCTCATATCCCAATCCCACAAAAATCAAATAACAATCCCACAGCATGTCAAATCCCAAATCAAATCCCAGTTCATGATGGACCTAGCAACGAAAATAGATGCCCAAGCCAAGTTCCAAAGCCTTCACATGCACAAGTCAAGTTAAGTGAGTATCTTCATCAAGAAGAAACTGCCAGGAACCAAGAGAAGGATTGGGCAAACAACAATATTGTCCCATCGCTGATGGACTTCAATGATGAGGACCCAGAAGATATTATTGCCCTTAAAGCCTCAGAACTTGCAGAGATTCCTGATAGACATGACCAGTGGGTCCTTGAAAATTACCAGGAAGCAACAACTAGGCCAAAGCTTTGGGGACTGCCCATGGATGAAGAGATTTGGTGCATGGAAGAACAAGATGTTTGGGAGGTTGTTCCGAGGGACCCATGGATGAAGACTATTGACACAAGATGGGTATATGACAAGAAAATTGATGGGTTTACTGCAGAACTACTGAGGTGCAGAGCTCGACTAGTCGTGAAGGGATTCACACAGATTAAAACTGACATACCTAAGCAGCAGCATGATCTCAACAACTTCCATCATGTCAATTTTGGGAGCTATAGTCTGATCGGACTTCTAAAATTAATCCCAAACAATGAGAAATGATGTGTTCCCCACTAATTGTTTTGGGTATTAGCTGGTATTGGAAGCCTGGGCTTGAGCCTGAGGCTTGGGCTTTCAAAATATGAAGCCTGAGCCTGAGCCTTCAACAAGCCCACCCCTATGGCTCAGCTTTTCAGGGCCTGGCTTGGCTCAGCCTGGCTCTGCTTAGGGCTTCATGCCAGGCCTTTCAAATCACTAATACAGCTTCATGCAAAGATCACACACAGTACACCTATAGTATCAAATTAAAAAGGGGAGACAAAGAAGAGGAAGAAGAGTATTAAATGCACACACCAAAACATACAGCATCCTATGAGTGTGTGCTTGCACTACTCTCACATCCCAGAAGCTAGAGCAAAGTTCCAATTCCAATTATACTACTGTGACTAGTATAATTGGAACTTTGCTCTAGCTTTGCCTCCTCCTTGCATGCCATTGCTGTTGACTACCTGTCACAGCATCCTATAGCTATGAATTCGGACAAACTGCCCAAATTTTCGGAGATTGGAGATCTGGGTTGATGGTGTCCATTGACCACTGAAAGTTGAGTCACAGCCAAGTCAAGCCATTTAGTGCCTGTCATTTTGGTGACTCGACTCGAGGACGCGGAGCCAAGCCGTGGCAATGGAAAGCATGTAGATAATAACTATGTACAGTAACAGTAAAATTACAGCTCTGAAGAGGCGCATAATGGTATCAAGAAGTGAATGCGAGACAATAAGTAAGTACGTATACAAGGAAATTGTTGTCTATTGAACTAAACCTCCCTTGAGGTTTCCCTTCCAAGCGCCATGGCCAAGACTGACTTCCGCCTGATCCTCCTGGGTTTGTTGATAATATGGCTGAGGCTGGTGGATATAGTGCCTCTCGACGCCGATACCGCCGTCATTCAAAGTGATGGCAGAGCCCAACTCACGGCCTGTCCTCGTTACGTTGATGGGAGCGAGAACGGGAGGGGGGCTGTCGTAGCCATTACGATACTCGTTGTCGTATACGTACGGCGCCGCGGGAGTAGATGGACCGGAGCTAACGCTATCCGGGGACGGGGGAGAGATGTGAGAGATGGAATGGCGGGAGGAGGCGGGCACAGGCGGGGAAATGGCGTATGTCTGTGGATATTCCTGGTAGGAAGAGGAAGGTCGGAATGAATAGGAATTAGGGAGGTTGTATTGCAGCTCGGGGGACGCCGAGTCTGACGAGCGGAGGGTTGCGGTTGCCGGGAGGGTCGCTTGAGTGAGAGGCGGGGGTGAGTCGGGCGGGGGTGAGTGGGAGGGCTGGCTATAAAGGCGGGCTGGTTCGAGGGCGGGAGGGGCGGGAGGCGGGGAGGGAACGCGTTTGGAAGTTGAACCACGGGCCAAACCGGCACGATTATTGCGACGAGAACCGGGTGCGAGATGAATACGATAACTGGATGAGTTATGTAAGTCAGTGCTGTTCATCGAGATGGGTACTCACTGTTGTTGTAAATTGTCCTGCCTAGAGCACCTCGTCTCGCATCCCGGAAACGGACACTTGTGATTCCTCTCCCCCGTATGGACGCGATTGTGTCGTGCCAAGTGACCGCTGGTCGTGAAGGCACGGTCGCATGTTGGACAAACGTGCCGTTTCTTGGAGCCCGACGACGCAGCACTGGAAGCAGTAGCCGTCAAAGTTGGTGACGGTGAAGGAGAGTTGTATGGCTGAGAGTCAGCCCTGGAAAGTTTTGCGGAGTCAACTCTAGGCATCAGGGAAACCCTGCAAGGTGGGGAGAAGGGAGTCAGAATGAAGATGGGAGTTGAAAAGACGCGTTTATGTTGCTGTACGTAAAATCATAATTTGCTCACAATAATTTGTTTTCTCTGAAATACAAATAGAAAATATTGTCATCACTGAAAATAAAATACTCAACTGCTGCTTCCCCGTCACTTTCGGAGCCGTGTCCGCTAGCGAATACTCTCGTTATACCTTCCTTTGCATCCCCATGGACGAACAAGCTCGACAGACGCCGCCCAGCTAACGGTTTTATTTTGGTTTTTATTTCTCGTCGTTGATGGCTTCTCCCAGGCACAACATAAAAACGTAATCCGCCCTTCTTCCGAATCACCGACTCATGATAAGCGTCGCCGTTTGGATCAGCCAGCAAGGGTCTCCTGTTGCCCACCTGATCTTACCACCGGCTGCGCGCACATTGTTCTTCATTATTACGGTGCATCGTGCAATCAACATGCAAAGGGCTGCAAAGGGGGGCGTTTCATGAGTTCGTTCCACTAAGCCCTTTCTGGTCTCAAATTTCATTTTCGGGATGCCGCCGGCTCGGCTTACACCTTGCACCGTCCTCCCTGCTTGCGATCGAACGAACCTGCAGCGACGTCTCTTTGCTAAGAAAGAAAATGTTTACAGGTAACGATACCTCTCCAAGACTTGGTCCGTCTCAAAGGACGAGCCCACATTGCAACAAGGTGTTCCATCTGTTTCATAGAACCAAAAGGAGCATTCCCACTGATGGCGGCCTTGCCCCGTGAACCCAACCGACGGTCTAGGCTACGTCAGAATCCAAGGCCTCGGTTCATACGTTATCTTCCTATACCCGCACAGTCGCACAAAAGTCGGTAACGAATCCCAAGATTCACACGAAATCTTATAGAAGAGATTCTCTTCGAACCCTGTCTCTCTTCTCCCTCCCCGTCGACCCTGCTTTTTTCCCGAGCCCTGATTATCGCACCCTGCCAGATCATCCTTCTCATCCTGACTTTCCCGGTTCACTCGGTGCCCCATTCAATGATGTTCCTGAACAAATCAACCGCATTGTTAACCTTGATATAGCACTCAATCATTCGTCGAACAATGTCCTACATTCATCGACACTTCAAGATAGGCGCTCAATCTAGGATCTAGGCCAGACAGCAGACCCTTCATCTAGACACGCGTACACAGATTCTCCATACCTAAATGAAATCGTAATAAAAAAAACATGTTTGCATTCCCGCCGTCCATATACTGCTTCTCTGTCAAGCATTGTACACATTTCACGTAACTTGCGAAACATCAGACCCACACCATGATGTCAAAATACATCGCCTCTCAGCCAACTCAAAGGTGCGACTGTGACGGTGTCCGCATTACTATCGACTCACACACTTGCACTCTGCAACATCGGCAATGTGTTCCATCATTTTCGGTGCATATATAAAAGCTATCGCCATCCAGGGCATCCTGTCGGCAGCACTTTCTTATTTCCGCACAAACCTACAAATTCACCATCATTTGAGAGATCACGGGCAAGAGAACCTTTGCCTATCATTATTGCAAAGATGCTCCACAATGATCTGGAATCGATTCATCTGTCCTCGTGAGTGAGTCCACCAAAGACACCATGGAATTGCGCACGAACTGGCGAAGGCCTTTAGCCCGCAAATATGGAGCGATACCACCCTCTAGATCTCCTAGATGAAGGATTATTGTCTTCGCCTTTCCAAGCGAAAGAAAGCAACTACTCCGAGTCTCCAATGACCACAGCAGGCTAGTGGGGAATACATGTCTGGACCTAGAATGACAGACAAGATAACCCCGGCTCCCCGAGGTCACAAGGAGACTCTTGATCCACAGACAAACCTTCCTTAGGACCGAAACTAATACTTGAAGCGTGTCGAAATTTGTCTCAGGCCTCACAGCAAGATGGGGATTAAATATATTAGGTTAGTTATATCCTTCGATTAGCTTCTGCGCGTAAAGGTCAGTGAAAGAGGAAAGATAACCAGAGTAATAATCAAAGCTCACGTTAGCTTAGTCGCCTTCCTCCCTGTCGTTGTTTCTAGGCCACTCAGCTCTTCAGCGACAACCCTGTCGTTCAACTGGCCAGCTACCAGGGGGCCCTGCATCCCACCCATCCGATTGCACGCTGCCTTAGCATCGCCGTGGAACCGCATTGGCAGCCCCACTTGCTCATCAATCAGCAGATGAGGTAGCAGTCGTGTGTGGAATACACGATGTGCCGTCGATGCGCCCTACCTCAACATCAGCCTACAACTAATAGCAAAGCAAAAATTCCGACGTACAAACTGCCTGAAAACACCACCAACCACAGCACTGACGGTGTCACCTTGCACCTTCCAGAGCCCAAGACTAGAGCTTGGGCCTTCCACAGATCCAAATTTTGGCACAGCAGGAACCCATCGCATGATACTCCCTACTCCCCATTCCCGCCCGACGTGCTCTCCCAATAGATATGTATTCAGCGTCCGTGCAACGATTACTTCCAAGTCATCTGATGGGTGCAACTCAGGCGAAGTACTGAGAAGGAGAAGAAGATATGTCTCGAGTGTACGTCGGCCTACGTGCCCAGTGAGTAACATAGACACTTCCACCAACGAAAACCAGACACACCGATGAAACTGAGCCCGCCATTGTGTCCTTGCGCAGCGGCAGGATGACTCGCGTGCGTAAGTATCCGCTGCGCCAGCTCAGGAGGGAATGCAAGACCAGGAAAGAGAGAATCTAAATGAGAGCTGAATGGATTTTTGGGGGACGTTGGCGCTGGTCGACGCCTAGGCTTTTGCGGCTGTTTCCGTGTAGTTGATAATTTTTGTGGGCTAGCTGTACGAGGAATATTATCGTCGCCCTCATCGGCGTCGTCGACATACACCTCCCTCCGAGGCGCGTTGGTCTCATGAGACGGCGGTTTTCTCAGCATTGCCGCTGCTGGGCTATACAGTCTCCGTCCAGACACATTGCTCCCTGACCGCCACGCAGAGTGGGAAGAAGGCCTTATACAACGGCGTAGACAAAGAGACATTCAAGCACGTCGTCGGAAACGTCGTCGACGAGCAGATTTTTGGAGTCGGTTGTGGATGAGAGAGAAAAGAAATATCATCACGTGCTGAGTCGCGTGACAGTACTCTCTCAGGGGCCTTATTTTATCAAACCTACGCCTGCATCCATTTTATTCAACAAGCACAATTACAATATTCTATCATGTAGCTGTTCCGAAAATTTGGTATCTCCTGCAAATGCTTGGTCCAATCTCATCATACTGCGCCTTGGTATGACAAGAGGTGTAGAACTCGGGCTACAAGCGAAGATAAGTATACCAGTAGTTTCAAGAGGGGATGGATATCATACCAAAGATGCCAGTAGAGAGCCACCAAACCATACAGCATACCTGATGAAGCAACATCAAGCTAAAATCTAGAAATAGAGGGAAGGCTTAGCACGCACCTCTGTCGTTTGTGAGAGATAACATCGACTTCCACTCCAGAAGACTACGGCATAATGAGAATCATCTGCAACATAAAGTCGATACGCACCTTCAAAGCACTCCCGCTAGCAAGGACGCTCGCATCCAAGCGCCGATCGACGAGTAGTTTCAGATCACGCTTCAAACGGTTTCCAAAGTGCTGGAACATCGTCGATCCACCGGACAATACAATATTCTGGTTAGAGTTTGTTAACCGGTGCTGTGACGCGCGCTATGAAACTGACCTTGTATAAGCCTCGACGAACGTCGATGGGAGATTGTTGGATAACATCGTCGACGATCTCCGGTAAGGGAGTCAAAAAGTCCGAAGAGTATATCTCAGGGTTGAAGAAAATCTCTGGCGCAAGGAAACGTTCATAACCAACATCGATGCCATATTTCTGGTTTAGAGTTAGAGGCTGTACACAGTAGCATGTGGATCACACACCCTTCCGGTAACACTATGTTCACCTTCATACTTTCAAAGTACTTGTATGGCTCGACGTCGTACTTCCGGAACTCCTTTACGATATCTTGGCACACGTAGCTGAACGACTCTTTCACCTTTCCTGCTACTTTAAGCTGATCCTCCGGAGGGACGGTAGCCATCTCGCCTCGCTCCCGAAGGAGGTTCAACACGAACTGTGAAATGTCCCTTCCTGCAATGGGGATATGCTTGATAGCACTTCCGATGACGTATCCTTCTGCACAGGGAATAACGTGAGTAACGCCATCACCGGAGTCAATGACGGTTCCGGTAAGTGTACGGTCTGTGACTCGGTTGGACGTCCAGGACGCGGCGAGGGCAAGCACGGCCTGCACGGCGATATACAGGCCCTTGATGTTGAATGATTCAAAGAAGATCTCGGCAGTTTGTTCGCGATTTTCTGGAGCATTGAGCGGCGGTTCAGTCTATCTCTGGGTATAAGCATTTACTGGGGCACAGTCATCCAACTATAGCAACTCACTAGGAGGAAATGATGGTCTTCTGGTTCTGCCCTGAGATATTTGAAGATGGTCTGCTCCCAGTAACGCTCCATATAATCCCAGTTGTCTATCATTCCATGACGGATGGGGTAGTGGACACTGTATCCGGGCGTCTTTGCATTTGCTAGAGCTTCGTCACCGATGAAGAAGTCAAGGTCTTCAACACCACGCTTGGATGCAAGATGGCCAGGTTTGGAAGGAACAGCTGGTGCACGAGACGATTGAGCAACAGTACCGCGAGTGGCAATCGCTGTCGGGAATACACTGTAGAATTTCGCGTCTCAGCAATGTAAATGGATGCTGCATGGTACTCACAAGGAAGGATCAGAATTTCCGGCAAACCTTGCATCCAAATCATCGTAAGCAACCAGGGAATACAAAAAGGTAACACATTTACCCTATTTTCGAGTACCCGGTCCCATTATCGCATATAATGGGCGCTAGATTGGACATGGTAGTGGATGGCAAGACGGATGGGTATCCGTAGTAGTGGCTGCAAGGCGCCCGAGTCAAGCACAGACAAACATAGCGGCTTTCCGGGCCGCTCGACCAATGTCGATCTCAACGGTATACTGCGATGAACGCCGCCTTTCGAGCAGGATGGACACGGTCGTTTTCCACGTCCAGGCCAAGATTCAACCGTGCTATCGTGTATAGTCAGAACGGGAATCCAGCAGAGGTCCTCAGCGCCATGACTTTATCCAAGCTGGATCCCCCGAGGCCATCCACCGTCAATGTCAAGTTCTTACTCTCAGCAATCAACCCTGCTGATATCAATGTTATCGAGGGCGTCTATCCTGCAAAGCCTCAGCCTGTGCAGGGAACAGGCTCAGACAGTGTATTCATTGGAGGAAACGAAGGGCTAGCTATCGTTACAGCGGTTGGCGAAGGCGTCGACTCCGTGAAACCCAACGATTGGGTTATTTCAACAAAGGCTCAGGCTGGCACCTGGACGGCAGTCAAGAACATCTCTGCTGAAGAACTTCTTAAGATACCCAGCCCAGAAGGACTCAGTGAAGTTCACGGGGCAACTATGACGGTATGCGAAGCGTCAAGTTCTGGTTTCTTCTAATTTCTTCCAGGTCAATCCCCCTACAGCATACAATATGCTCAATGAGTTTGTCGATCTCAAACCCGGTGACTGGGTCATCCAAAATGGCGCCAATAGTGCTGTCAGTAACACTTTTACGTTCCGCTCTTCATGCCCATCTCTTGACTACTAGGTCGGCCAAGCAACTATTCAAATAGCCGCCGCTCAAGGATTGAAAACAATTAACTTTGTCCGTAACCGGTATGTTTTACGCTACCTCTTGACTGTCAATCTGATGGAAGTATTAGGGACAACATCGCTGATCTAGTACAAAGACTGGAAGCCTTGGGTGCAAATAAGGTGTTCACCTATGACGACCTCAAAGACCGAGAGCTTCGTAAAAAGATCGCTACCTTGACTGGAAACACGGTAAGCGTCTACTACTATTATCTGGCCTAGTATCCAAACCAAGACCACAGGATATTCGCTTGGGACTGAACTGTGTCGGTGTGTATGAAGACCTACCTCCTTGACAAGTTATTCAGTGCTCCTCAGGTGGACCCGAGACGACACAAATGGTAAAACTCTTGGGCAACAACGCCCATTTGGTATCCTACGGCGCGATGTCCAAGCTACCACTCTCATTCCCGACATCCTTGTTCATTTTCAAGAACCTCACAGCCCACGGATTCTGGCAACACGGTTGGTATCAACGACGGAGCCGCACCGATCGCGAAGATCTAATGCGCAAGTTAGTTGACTTGACGCAACAGGGCAAGGTATGTCAGCAATCATTGTTTAGTGTCAGATGTACTAAAAAAATGTACAGCTCAAGGAACCTGAGCATGAAGTCATGACGATTCCTGCTCATGAATCCGATGAAGAAGCGACAGCACGAGTCAGGAACATTTTCAAGGCAGCGCAGAGCCACGGAAAGAAAATCTTGCTCAAGCTGGAGAGTTTCTCATAGTTACACAAGATTGAATGAAAATGGAAATAATGTCTGTCGTTATTATAAACAGTGCTACCGCATTTGCCTGTCTTCGAAGAAACGCTACAGACATTCAGAACGACCGAGAAACCAGTATGGAACACAGAACGCTCACCTTGAGATGCCGCAGCTGCCATGCACAAGTAAGAATTAAAACCATTATCTGAGCCACACTGTACCATACGGCCCGCGCATTGGTGGCCTCGCTAAGATTCCTATAATCCGCCTCCCGCTCCCGCTGATACTGCTTGCTCCCGTCGAATGTCCTCGAGTTTTTGGTTCAAGTCGCGTACTTTAGCTGCAAGCTCGGAAACATGTGATCTATCTTGCTCTATGTTGCCCTTCGTCTTGCCGACGACGATGTCAAGGTAAAGGCGAATATGGGTACTGGAAAACCAGGACGTGTAGTTGGTCGAGAGACAGATAGAATGGTCTCCTGCATCGTGGGAGGTGAACGTGAAGCGGCCTTCGGAGGGGCCTTTTGTTCTAACAACGGAGTCACCGCTTTCTACTTCCTGGATAAAGTAAATGAATACGTGTTCAGTACGGAATGGTTTGAGATGCGTACTTCAACATCAACGTGTATTCCAAGTTTATCGTCATTTATGTACGTCTGCTGGGGCTCTGACCACTCGAGGGCACGATAATGACCTGGACAACAGTGAGAAACCAGTACCAAGACTGAAGAAGACACGTTACCCTCGACAACAGTGTCCGTTGGCAGCTCCTCAATGAAACAGCGCTTTTCGTTGGCGTCGAGATAGAAATGGAGAGCATTGACGACAGCAAAGGAGAGCGAAAGAAAGCAGAGCGAGAGGAACGGATGGCGGCGCATGGTCGAGGAAGACAAACAGAAGTGTGACAAGTGTGACAGAGTTCCTCGTTGTCTCCTACGATGATGGCGTACTACTCCCGCCCTTCGTACGCCGCTGAGACTCCTCCGCCAGCGAACATCGCTCATCCCGTCCCTCACCAGTCCGTTGCACCCTATCTTCCCAATGCCAGCTCTCACAGTACCATCCCTGCTCACCTCACCACATATGAAGACGGCAAAATCTATGCTCTGGTCATCGAGCTCATGGACCCAATGGCAAGAGAAGGAGCATTGCTTGAGCTCAGCAAGAAGAGAGAGCAGTACGATGACCTAGCCTTGGTTCTATGGCATTCCTTCGGTGCGCCGCTTTATTCTCTAGTGTAGACTCAGCTTGACGCCAAGCTCCCGCCCAGGCATCATGCCAGCCTTGCTGCAAGAAATCGTGTCTGTATATCCGCTACTTTCGCCACCGAATCTCACTGCACATGTCTCTAACCGGGTCTGCAATGCCCTTGCCTTGCTGCAATGTGTCGCCTCCCATACGGACACGCGTCAACTCTTCTTGAATGGTCCGTGCATTTTTCTTCGGCGCGACGTGGGCTCACCCTTTTCTTTGTATAGCGCATATACCTCTTTTTCTATATCCTTTTTTGAATACCACCTCCAAAACACGCCCATTCGAATACCTTCGGCTTACTTCTCTGGGTGTTATTGGGGCACTTGTCAAGGTAAGCCCTCTCCCTACATTTACAATCACTGCCGTCTCATACATATTAGCAAAACGACAACAACACGGTCATCCACTTTTTATTATCTACCGAAATTATCCCTCTCTGCTTGCGCATTATGGAAACTGGCTCAGAGCTTGTCGAAAACTGTCGCTATTTTCATCGTCCAAAAGATCCTCCTCGACGAAACCGGACTCACTTACATATGCCACACCTATGAGCGGTTCTATGCTGTCGGGACTGTCCTTAGCAACATGGTCAGCCAACTCGTCGAGACACAGGCTGTTCGACTGCTCAAACATGTCGTTCGGTGTTATCTCCGCCTTAGCGACAATTTGCGGGCACGAGAAGCCCTAAGAGCTTGTTTACCAGAGCCGCTGAGGGATCAAACGTTCAGTACCCTTCTCAAGGTTGGCCTTCCATGCTTCTTCTAAACAACGGCTGATATTATTTCTGACAGGGAGACATGGTGACGAAGAGATGTTTGACGACCTTGCTTAACAATTTGAATGAACCATGATGCACTTCGCTTATTTCACTTATTTCCGTCATCTATATATTGCTAGCTTCGGGGCAACAGTATCATATTTGTAGTACAGATCAAAATATTGTATAGTAATTGTTGAATAGCCAGTTTTCGGCAATGGAAGTAGATTATCGTATCCCACCAAAGAGAAGGAGCATTGCAGGTCATATTTGTACTTACATTGGCGGAAAGGAAATCACGCACTGACACTTTGCTAATTATTTAACCTGGCTCTTATTTAGATCCCAAATGAGAGAATCGATATGATCTTAAATACCGTGCGAGACAACATTACTGACACTATTCTATGGCCGCATTATTTAAAAGGAGGCTACAGTGATATAGGTTTACTATCCTTTTGCGCTTGATACAGTCAATGCAGTGTGTGCAGGTACCAGAGACGAGCCAGACTCACCCATTGTAATCCGATCACCCAATGAAAGAGCTATACCCTGCGTCTTGCTACGAATTCTCACATGGCCTGTAATGGTACCCGCCTCCGTCCGTTCAATACTTAGATTGGCCAGTGCGTCTTCGCCTATTAGCCCGGTATCAGCGATGGAATCATGTCCTCCAGGAATGACACCTACCAAACAGGCTTCTTGCATACATATTTGCGGACAAGAAATCGCATTCTCCGGAAAGGGCACCGTCAGGTGTCAGACACGACATATTCGTCGCCTTCATGACATGTTTGAGATACTCTCTTGGATCACTAGAGAGCGAGTACGTGAGTCCCCTCATCAATATGAGCTTTGCAACACATACGACATAGAATTGTTGACGTTGACTCGATTCTCCCATTCGAATTCGGTCCACATACTGCGGAACTGCGGATGAACTGAGTACTCTATCTTAACCAGAAGGTTGGTATGATTCACCTGCGCCTCATTGCAGTAAGCCGGTTTGATATAGTCCATGATATCGATATGAATGTCGTTGAGAATGACACAAGCCTCTGACATATTGTGACCCTCCCAAAGTATACTTCCGAAGATAACACCAGTCTCCGTCGATGACACCTGTTGACTAGTGAAATTCGTGTTCGAGAATGATGACGGGAAGACAAACTTTAATAGTGGCTTTGATACTCTGGAATCCATGGGGACCGATGGTGTATACTGACGGCCTCTCGACAATTTTGAGATCGCCCAAAGTAGCAAAATCCAGGCAAAGGTTCTGCAGCGTGTTTGGTGTTTGGTTAACTAAAAGCACGTCTTTTGCACCAAATGATGTTAGTGCATTGCGGGCCTACAATATACTAAATGCTCACCAAGCATGATATCAAATCCATGCATCTTGACATAGGCTTCGGCATATATTGGATCGGAAAATCCTGGCAAGATGCATTAGCGGTCCGTTGCAAAAAAAGGTTGTTTAAGGATCTTACCAGTAAGCTGAGCAATTCGGCTAAGATTAGAAATGAAGTCTTCTTGTATTTCGCCCGAGCCCGTTGCACGACCGACATCCTCATCATCCTATATGACAAAATGAATACTTGAGAAGTAAGATACGCACAGATACGCTTACATCGATGGTATCATCGTTAGTCTTCTTGGAGAACTGCCTGAATGTCAGAAGATCGTCGACTTGAACGACCGCTGTCTTCGTCGCTTCCGTCTCTTTCTTCTCAAGAGCTCGCTTCTAAATAAAGGTTCAGAATTTGCCTTTGTTAAAGTGGAATTGGAAAGAGACCTCTTGAGCAGTGAGCATCTTAGAGAAGGCAAGTTTTAGAATCGGTGAGGAAGACTTCGTGGACCACGGGCTGCGCTCGAAGCTCGCTGAGAGTTTGTATGCAATTCATTATACGCTCGTTGGAGTCTTCATCGATCTGAACTGTGACAAATTTGGACTGGCCAACACGAATGATTGAAGTCATGATCAACATTGCCTATTTGCAGAAAATTAATGAAGACTCAGAGTTTAAAGAGGAGGTATACCTCAGCGCGTAACGAATTGGAGGAAACAGTATCTTGACTCAGATCATCGAAACGAAGGGCAAGCTTACAAAGAGCCACTGCTAAGACTGCCCCGGTGAAGAAATCACCTCCAAGAATGAGTGCTACCATAATATTAGACAAGCGCAAAAATCAAGCTAAGTATTGCTTACTTCGCAAGGGAGGTTTAGCAGCGGCTTTAACAGCTTCCAAACGAGATGCAGCTGTACTTGAATACGCTGTTTCTGTCGCATATGTGCCGTCTGCCAATACTTTCGGTCGTCCAATAACTTCAGCCGTTTCTCCCTTCTCCGTTTCGGGATCCTCCCCACTCGCTTCATCTAGCAATCGTTGTTCTGAGGCGAGAATGGGGATCTCGCCCAATACTTTCCTTACAGCTTGCATAGTTTCCTGGATATCCACTGCCGTCTCGACGTATTCACCCAAAATCCATAGCACTCCACGGAAAACCTTCCCAGACTTGATCTCTGGTAAGGTTTGTATCAATCTTTCACAAATGGCTGCTCTGAGATTGGGGAATTTCTCTACAACTTCACGCACAAAGGCGACAACGTCGAGAGCGGAGGGGTTACTTGTATCACCGAGGAATTCCATCAGCGCATGTACAACGCTAGCCGCAACCTCAGAGAACTTGATAGCCGTGACATGGATGGATTGGATGAGGAGTTGTCTATACTCCGAAGCCTGAAAGATACAATTGAGTATATAAATCAATGGCCAAGAATATGGTCCTACCTTGTCGAAGTCGGCTTCTTGAGTTTTTTGAAGCTGCTTCTTTAGGAAGAGAACGACTTCTTCAACATTACGACTCGTTGTCATACTGAGAACCACACTGATAGCCTTCCGACGGACTTCCATGTCGGCACTGAAGACGCATTAGTGAAGTAAGTATACAAAGAACGTCACTTACGTAGACAGGATCTGCAACACGTCCATTATGAGGCCATCCATGACATGGCCATGCCTTGAACGAAGGGCGTCGAGACGATCTAGCACGATGAGCTTGACGTTATTATCTGATTCCTTTATTATGAGGTTGATATAGCAGGACGCAGCGGCTGATAGGTCATGTCAGAAAGGGAACAGCGTGAAGAAGTACAACGGTACCTTTGACCGCTGCAGGGTTTTGTGTAAGCGCTAGTCAGTGTGGTTGCCTGCCTCGTATTTAACAGCGTGCGAGGAGACGTTGAGAAGGTCAAATATGCACCGAATGTAGCGGCCCTATCAAGTTCAAATATAGATGGGCAGGGTAGAGGACAGGAGCGTATACATACACGCTGGGCGGATTCATTTTTACAATCCATACGTATCACCTCAATAATGCTCATCTGCAACGCTTCATCTAGGGACGGAATGGAGTCGTAAATGCTCAAAATGTACTCGACAGCCTTGGGCATAGAACAATGAGCCAAAAACACGAATGCATTGCGCTTGCAGGTAGAGTCGGTTTCCGCAGCGAGGAAGGTAAGCATGAGCTCGGAGGCATCTGGGATGAGATGCTCATATTCGCGATAAATGGAATAGACGGCGAACACTGCGTTTTTGCGGACGTAGGAGTGCCGATGCTCCAGACAAGATCGACACGTTGGAATAAGAGGTTCGAGGAGCTCAGAATCTTTGGCGATTTTCTGCAGGAACCGTAGAGTTGCACCACGGATGTACTCATTTGGGTGTTGCTAAAGAAAATGTGAGTCTAAGAGCTGGTGAGTTGCATAACGAGAAGGATATACCAAGTCATTTCGAATGGCGTTGCTGGACACAAAAGGTCAGCCATCGTCCGGTACAGCAGCTGATCATATACGCACACGACAAGAATCATTTCCTGCTTCAGTTTTCCCTGCTCGTCGTACTTTGGACAGACTTCCCAGTAGAAATGCAATAACTTCTTCAGCTGCTTGTTCCGCGAAGGCAATACGAATTGGATAATGGGCATGAGCAACGCCGGCTGGTTCTCAAATGAGTGTCCTATATCATCCTCGATGCCATGCTACCCTCACCTGAGGATTTCCATTGATAGTCGAAATGACGATCCGGCGCAACGTGTCGATTTTGACTTCATCTGAGCCCTTTTCAAGGAGCTGGCGCAGTTCGGACGCCGAAGGAGATTCAGTGGCCGACTCGAAGATGACCGTGTAGCATGACGTGTCTGCAGTAGTCATTGTGGTCGACGGCGACGACAACAGAGAAGGAAGGTGGACAAAGGTGTAGCGGTCGTAACGCGTTGACTTTAGTCGGCTTATGTCACGTACCTGTGGGAAAGTAAAAAGCACCGCGCTCGTTGTCCTGAACGTCCTTCATGGCGTCGTCATCGTCTACGCCTGTTGCTCACAATGCTCTTCCACCACCGTCAGTGCCTTCTGCCGGTCGGTCGTCGCGAATAGCGCCCCATTCACACATCAAAGGTCTCGGTTTGACGCCTGAGGGCCTTGCAACCGTTGACGGCGCTGGATTCATTGGTCAGACCGTTGCTCGCGAGGTAGGCCCCGCCTCCGTCTCGGATACGTCAAGTAATATCTCTTAGGCTTATGCTAGGCATGCGGTGTCATTGTGGATCTGATAAAATCTCGCAAATTTTCCGGGCGAGCCCTTTTGCTTGCAGGCGCGCCGGGAACAGGCAAGACCGCCCTCGCGTTGGCTGTATCACATGAACTCGGGGCGAAGGTTCCCTTCTGCCCTATGGTTGGATCAGAGGTATACAGCACAGAAGTCAAGAAAACAGAAGTTCTTGCAGAAGTTTTCCGAAGGGCCATTGGTATGATTCCATGATATCATATATTGTAGAGTCCCTAATGATCCTTCTAGGCCTCCGTATTAAAGAAACAAAGGAAGTATATGAGGGTGAAGTTACCGAGCTTACCCCCGCCGAGTCTGAAAATCCCTTGAGCGGTTATGGCAAGACTGTCTCTCACGTTATCGTCCATCTCAAGACAGTCAAGGGCGTCAAGCAACTACGCCTTGATCCTAGCATATATGAATCAATACTGAAGGAAAAGATCGTGGTGGGAGATGTCATTTACATTGAAGCCAACACTGGGGCAGTCAAGGTAAGTTTGTTCCGACATCTTTGGCGAGCATTTTGTTGATGTCGCGTCTAGCGAGTAGGCCGTTCAGATGCATATGCTTCATCATATGATCTTGAGTCAGGAGACCTATGTCCCCCTCCCTAAGGGTGATGTCCATAAACGTAAAGAATTGGTCCAGGATGTTACTTTGGGAGATTTAGACGCAGCAAATGCCCGACCTCAAGGCGGACAAGATATCATGAGCGTCATGGGTAGTCTTGTAAAAAGTGGACGTACCGAAGTTACAGATAAACTCCGGCGCGAAGTTAACAAGGTCGTCAAAGGTTATGTCGACCAGGGAGTGGCCGAGGTGGTACCAGGAGTCGTGTTCATTGACGAGGTTTGCCACTCTTTTAATTATGTTCTAACCTGCTAATCATTTTAGGTGCATATGTTGGACATTGAGTGTTTCACCTACCTGAATGCGCTTCTGGAATCTCCCATGGCTCCCACCGTCATTCTTGCGACAAATCGTGGTAATGCGCTGGTACGAGGGACGACTGACATCATATCTCCTCATGGTATTCCCATCGACCTGTTGGACAGGTTAGCGTCTTGATTTGAAACCAACTCCTTCTACTGACCGACATGGCGGCAGGTGCATGATTGTTAAAACTGAAGGATATACCCGTGAACAGGTTGGAAAAGTTGTTCAACTTCGTGCGGACGTCGAGGGTCTTAAATTGAGTCCTGCCGTTCTCGCACGACTGGCAGCAGAGGGAGAAAAGAGCTCACTAAGGTTCTGCGCCATACTTGCCATTACCGTCTTGCATGTGCTCATTTTTAAATTTCAGATACGCCCTTCAACTACTCGCACCTGCATCAATCCTAGCCAAGCTGGCGGGTAGGTCGCAGATTGAGGACGAGGATATTGCCGAGATGAATGAATTGTTCCTTGACGCCAAAACATCTGCGGCAAATATTGGGGACCACGTAGCCGATGGTGACAAAATGAGCTTGTAGAAAAATGCCTTTCGTTATGGAGTCTCTTGTTGTTTTGCTATATAATTCATAAAGTAGTGTTGCTCGTTCTCCGTGCCAGTTAACCCCTATCCTTTGTTTGTTCCTGTTGCAACTCGAGGTTGTTGAAAGGACACAGCCACCATTTCTTCGTCACATTCAACGATGAGCTCGCCAAAACGACCGGGGTCTCCTTCACCAGGCTCTGATTCGAAACGTGTAAAACTCTCAGTAACAGAACAAAACCAGGGTGTATCCGCTGTCGACCCCGACTCTGCACCCGGTAAACGCAGCGAGCTCGACCCCGTCCAGTCCGGTGACATTGGGAACCTTCCCAGCGAGGAGGGTGCTGCTACAGGAGAATCATCTTCTCGACCTGATGTACGCGTGAAGGTGTTGGGAGAGGATGAGGATGGTGGAGACGTTTCTATGGGTGAAGATGACGGCGAATCCGGCGACGAAAACGACGATGAAGACCCAGCGCAACTGGAAGCTACGCGCCTCCGTCTTGAGGAGCAGGCAAGGAAATACTTGGCTTCACAGACCCATGAAGTCATCATTCCGTCGTATTCTGCTTGGTTCGACATGGCCAAGATACATCCTGTCGAGCGCCGAGCCTTGCCTGAGTTTTTCAACTCCCGGAATCGGTCAAAGAGCCCAGCAATATACAAGGATTACCGCGACTTCATGGTCAATACCTATAGGCTGCGACCCACGGAGTATCTCACCGTCACTGCCTGTCGTAGAAATCTTGCGGGCGACGTCTGCGCCATTATGCGCGTCCACGCGTTTCTCGAGCAATGGGGTCTAATTAACTACCAGGTGTGTGCTACCCAGTTCAATCTTCGGCTGTGTCGTTAAGTATTTCTTTATAGATCGACCCAGATGCTCGTCCTGCCGCCCTTGTTCCTCCATTTACAGGCCACTTCCGTGTTATACTTGACACGCCACGGGGTCTTCAGTCACTCCACCCCGGCTCGAAACCTCCCAATCCTGGCGCAGCTGCCGTCAATGGTGCTCAAAAATCCAACTCTTCAACGAATTCTGCCTCTCTCGAACTTCGTTCATCCATATATCAGACTTCATCCAAGTCAAGTCGACCCGTCAGTGCCTCAGAGGCTAAGGACCTTGCAAATGGGACCAATGGAAGCACGCCTGCGAGCGGTCTCTACACTTGCGACACCTGCGGTTCCGATTGTACCCCCGTCCGTTACCACTCTCTAAAAGAGAAGAAATTCCATCTTTGTGCTCCGTGCTACCTCAACGGGCGCTTCCCTTCTACCATGTTCAGCGGTGATTTCGTCAAGCTGACGAGCGCTACTCCCGTCGGCAGGGGAGGGCAATGACAGCTGGTCAGATCAAGAAATTCTCTCGTTGCTCGAAGGAGTGGAGATGTATGATGATGACTGGAGTAAAATTGAGGAGCATGTCATGACCAAGACCGCTCAACAGTGTATACGCAAATTCTTGGAACTGCCGATTGAGGACCCGTACCTTGAACAGTGAGGGGGCTATGGGTCCTCTTAGGTTTAGCAGAATGCCATTCGAGCAGGCCGATAACCCTGTCATGAGTGTGGTCGCCTTCCTGGCTGGGGTTGTGGGACCAGGGGTGGCGGCAGAGGCAGCAAAAACGGCTTTGCATGAGTTGACAGATGATGCGAAGCCGGAAACAGGGAAACAGGATGACAAGATGGATCAGGACCAGCCTGAAGGCGAAGCCGGAAAGGCGACGGCTGATGAGAAGACGGTAGAGGAAGGCAAGGCTCCATCTCGTACCCTGCCTCACTCCAAAGTTGCCCGAGCAGCTGACTTGGCGCTCAAATCGTCTGCCAAAGCCGCCCAGTCTCTCGCCGATGCCGAAGATGCGCAGATCCGGTCAACTCTTGCTTCGATGATCAAGCTGACGCTCACCAAGCTGGAATTGAAGATGTCGCAGTTTGAAGAGCTGGAGGACATTCTAGAAGAGGAGCGGAAGGGACTGGAGAGCACCAGGATGGCCCTTGTGCAAGAACGGTTAGGCCTGAAAAAGATGGTAGACAATGTCAAGACTCTCATTGCAAAGAATGGGACCGGGGTCAATGGCCTTGGTAATGTGTCGCTTGGGAACAGTGGCCAAGGGACTGTTATCAATGAGGTGCAGTCTGGGACGTCAATGGAGGGAGGTTTGGGGCCCGTAGAGGACGGCAGCATGTTACAGCTGACTTAATTCTGTGTATGTTCTGACCCTTATATATATTTTGCTATTGTGCTCTGGTGTACATTATCCTCCATATCGGAACAGATGCATTCGTTAAATGGCCAACGTAGATAAGTATACAGTTACAGCCTTTATCTAGCGGGCCTGGCCCATTTGAACGTAGGGTAGGGTCAATTGCCACCACACAACCATTCCAAGACCAACCAGCCCATGGATTGTTCCCCACGCAGTTTCTGGGGTGATGCGATACCTATAGGCATATGAGAGAAAGAAGAACGGACTGTGTTGATTGACTCACTGCTCGAAGAAGGGTCCGAACGAGTAGGGAATGAAACGAGGGGCGTAGTAAAGGACGGTAGAAGCTGAACTATGGTATACACATAGACCCATTGCCAAAGCTCGTTTACCTGGAAGAAATTCTGCAGGTGCGATGTAAACTGTGGTATCGAGGAGAGAAAGAGAAGAGCATACCTGGCAACGGAAAACACAATAGCGCAACTATGCACGACGCCAGAGCCAAGGATGCATACAACTGTCGAAATTCGATGGATCGTGGCAGGAAAAAGCGATCGGGTCACGAATACTCACCTTGAGAAGGACCAAGGTGGTGTTGGTGAGCTGCAGAAAAGGCAGCGTGGCAGGGGACCATACGCCCTGGATTGCTAGAGGAATTTCGACTGCAATATGCAGCAGAAAAACGACAGAACTAATAGTATTCACGATGAATATAGGTGAGACGGGCACCAATATAAACGTACAGAGGGCTACGAGGTGGAGCAGACATGGTGGTCGTTGGAATAGCCGCTATTTACTTTCTCACGAATAAATAAAGACGAATGAATGTCAATTTTCTCTATCGCATCATCTATTGAACATTGTACCCTATCAAGCTTCTCCTTCCGAGTATCTCCCCAATCTAAAGCAAAATATTTCAGTTCCTTCATAATAATGATAAAAAACCGAAATTCCGTACTTTGAAGATACCATATGCCTCTAGCGCATACACGCCGACCTTGGCAAAGTTTAGCTGCCGCCACTTGAGGGTCGACTCCCAGATCTCCTTGTACGCAACCTTGACCTCTGCAATGGACTTGGGTGGTGCCAGTCCCTCCGCAACGTAAACTTGCTTCGCCAGAGACCGTACAACCGCAAAATTGTATACTATCGGTTCCCGGTAGGCTAGTTATCCCTTCAGCACCACGGCACAGAGGACGAGAATCAGTGACGTACCTCCCAACAAGCTCCCAGCTCTCTCTCCCAAAGGCCCTAGAGCCTTGATAATCTTCTCAGCACCAGCCTTTCCTTGCTCAAAGGCCTTTCCGGCTACTTCCTGCGCCTTTTCTTGTGTCGACTTTGTCGAGTATTGCCGAGCGTGGCGAGCTGTCTGGATGATACGGGCCCGTAGCATTTTTGTCGAGGTGGAGGGAAGAATTAGGGACTGTGGGAAGTTGGGATTGGCTCGGAACGGAACGGACGATCTAATCTTATCAGCGGATGCAAAAATTATTACACAATCTATATTACTCTATCTTACATCCTTTCAAGTGGCCGAATGCTCAATAGCCTCATCGCGGCAGCCAGGACATCCCGTGCAGAATCGTATAGCCACATCCTCGCCCTCGCTTTCTCTATGTCCTCTTCTCCCTTGACTACTACCGTCTCCCACGCGCTGGAAATAGCATGACTGAGCCTGAACGCGAATGTCACCACCCCACTAGGTTCATGTGTTTTCAGAGCGACCTTCACTACATCTGGATATGATCCCAGAAGGAGAGCGATATCGCGCGCGTGTTGCGACTGAGTCAATGTTTCGATGTTGATCTGCGATGGGGGAGGAAGAGGAAGAAGATGTGGGTTTTTTCGACCAATAGATGCGAGCCGGACATGCGCGTATTGAAGGTAGGGACCTGTGTCGCCCTCGAAAGATTTCATTCGGTCCCACGTAAATGTGTAGTTGTTGATCCTGTACACGCCATGAGAAGACATAGAATGTAATAAGGTCCATTGACTTGCCGTTTCGCAGCCATGTCCTGTATTTTCACACCGGTGATACCAACTTCTCGACTCGTCGTTTCGGGGTCCTCTATAGCAGCATATTTGTCTTCATTCTTTTGCATCTGCTCATGCATCACTTGGGCAGCCTCTTTGATGATCTGGTCCAAGAATACGACAGTTCCTTTTCGTGTACTCATGCCCTGAACAAGTCCGTAGTTGACATGCTCAAGAGTTTTCGCCCAGGGGAACTCTAGAAGCTGAAGAATCTTGAAGAACTGCTGAACATGAAGATCTTGCTGCGACGATATGACATATATCATCTTGTCGAATTTGTACTTTTCATATCGTTCAATGGCACCTCCAATATCTCGAGTCAGATATATCGAAGTCCCATCTGCAAAGAAACCGTGAGCACTAGATCAATTACATGAAAGAACGACGTGCCCTTTTTGCGGAGAACAGCCTTTCCGAGCTTCCACTTCTCCAAATCGACAATTTTTGCACCATCAGCATCAGTGATAAGACCCATGTCCTCTAGGCGGGCCTGTGCCTTGTCCTGCCATTCCTTTCCAACCATACTCTCGCCTGTGTATACGTCAAACTTGACATTCAGTCGGTCATATTCTTCAGCGTATTTCTTGACGCTCAACTCTCGCCAGACCCGCCAGTTTGTGAGGGCAGTCTCGTCGCCGTCCTCCATCCTTTTGAACCATTTACCTGCTTCAGCCTTGACCTCAGGGTTGGCTTCCGCATCTTTATTAATCTTGACATATATGTCGAAGAGGTGCTTAATCGCATCTTTTTCGAGTTCCTCTTGGGATCCATATTTCTCAAAACCGACTGCGATAAGACCAAACTGGGAATCTCGTTGAACGACGTGAGCTGCGAGATACAAATTTAACTGACCTGGGTGCCCCAGTCTCCGAGGTAGTTCATAGAAATAACATCCCAACCACAGCTTTTGTACAGGTTGGCGAGAAACGCGCCGATGATTGTACTTCGAAGATGTCCAACATGGAAGGATTTTGCAATATTGGGTGAGGAGTATTCGATAACCAGCGTTTTTCCCCTGCCAGAGACGTTTGTGCCGTATTCGGGCTCTCCAGAGGGTGTACTGTGGGTGAGGGTATGTATTTGGGTAAGGACATCTCGGATAACGGTGGATGTTGTCAGCTGGAAGTGAAGAAAGGCTTTGTCATGTGTAACAGAGGCGACATATTCGTCTGGTTGAAACTGGAGAAGATCAGACTGACAGAGAAAATATGAAACGACCACACACTTGAGCGATAACTTTTGCAGCGAGCTCATCGACCTTGCCTGGGAGACGGAATCGCAGAAGGGCGACGGTGAAATCGACGCCTTTTTTTCCGTAGTCGACGCCTGAATATGCCTGCTCTATGGTCAAAGGAGGCAGAGCATCGGCTACTCGTTTTGCAATGGCTGTCCTGAAGGTATCGAGAGCACATCGAGAGGGATCTGTGCCGGGTACAGAGGGAAGGGACGAGGCCATGGTAGAAAAGAGACGAAAGGGTCGTAGTCGGATCGCGTTGAAGAAAGCCACAACTGGTATTTATTCAAGAAAAAATGAATGATATCGATGGAGTCATTGATTAGCACAGCCACTACTCTAGTCATCTAATATTGGCAGAGCGTCCGATGCAATCTTTTCTCCCAATGCCAGCTGCTTGAACAGCATATATGCTCTCTCAAGGTCATCGTTCACGATAACATAGTCGTGAACATTCGGCTCCTTGGCGTACTCAATCTCCCTCAGCGCCATCGCCAGCCGCTTCGCGACAGACGCCTCCGTTTCTGTGCCTCGTCCTTTCAACCGCTCACGCAGCGATGCCATCGTAGGTGGAGAAATAAAGCAGTACACCGGATTCAGCGATGTCGCTTTGATTTGTCGGACACCCTAGTAGAAGGTCAATGCATGCTAGATCCCAGCATCCTAGCCACATACCTGCGCCTCGATGTCGAGAATGCACCGCCGCCCTTCCTTTTCTACCTCCCTGACGGTCTGAAAGCTTGTCCCGTAAAAATTCCCAGAGAACTGCGCGTGTTCAATAAAGGCGCCTTGGCCAAGAAGCTCCTGGAACTTGTCCACTGTCACAAAGTGGTACTGCTTTCCGTCAACCTCGCCTGGTCGAGGATCACGAGTCGTGTCTGGGCCCGTTCAAGCCTTCTTTTCAACGATTACGACAACAGGAGGCACCCACGGGAAACGCTGAAGCCAAATTTATCGGGATACTCTGCAAAGAGCCGTTGTAAAAGAGTGCTTTTGCCTACGCCAGAAGGGCCAGAGAGAATGAGAGGACGGAGGAAATCCGGGAGCATCGAAGTGTAGATGAGGTACGATGAGCTCGGGGTACTTGGAAATCAAAGATAGAATTCTGATGTCACGTGCCATCCTTCCGGTGTCACGCTGCTGTGATGGATGTGACTTGCATCAATGCGTGTCACGCTATCTCTCTTCTCCTGTCCCCCCTCCCTTACCTTCCCCGCCTACCACACTCTACCGTCTCCTTGCCCTTTCTCCATACCCGCCGTCGTCGAGTATTCTCGGTTCACCCTTCATTTGTCGAGGAACTCTCTTTATCCCTTCCCAAAGGCTGGCTTTCGCGAAATCACTACCTCTGCTACCTTTACGTCTCATCAGTACCTGCTGTATCTTGAAACGCGGTAGCGACGAGCTATCATGGGCGGAGTCTGTTGCAGGCCACAGGTGTGATTCCGTTGCTTCATTTGCGATGCCAGCGACGACAGCTCATCCTAGTCTATCTTTGCACCACCAGCCGATTGATTTTGATGGTGAAGTCACCCTCTTCCACTTTGTTCTCCTGCGATGTGTAGGGAAAGGCGCCTTCGGCAAGGTATCTTTTTTCATTTGCAAACATATCTTATCTTGAATTCTCATATCTACCACCGTCTGCAGGTTCGAGTCGTCCAACACAAACAGACAAGAGATCTTTACGCCCTTAAATACATCAACAAAGCAAAATGCGTGAAGATGAAGGCAGTTCCCAATGTCATCCAAGAGAGACGGCTCCTCGAGGAGGTGTGCATGTTCCTGGCTAACATGCTATTGGCGCATTGACTCCCACGTTTAGGTCGACCACCCATTCATTGTCAACCTCCGCTACGCTTTTCAAGACGATGAGAACTGTTTCTTCGTGCTCGATCTCATGCTTGGTGGCGACTTGCGATGTGTGTTCAAATACTGCCTGGAGTACCTGCAACGGCTCATTTATCCTCAGTTCACCTAGAGCGGCTTGGATCACTCGAGGAAGATGTTGTGAGGTTCTATGTTGCCCAGCTCTCGTCCGCTATAGCATTTCTCCATGACAACGGCATAATGCATCGGTCTGTATTCTCATTACCCCGCCTACGTCGACCTATGCTGACTGAATGACCAGGGACATAAAACCCGATAACATTCTATTGGACGAAAAAGGGAATGCACATCTGACAGATTTTAACATCGCTGTCCACTTTAGCGAGCGGCGGCTAAACGGCGTTGCAGGCTCCATGGCATATATGGCTCCAGAGTGAGTCATCGTCCGAGTCGCACCAAACGCTTTGTATTTTTGATCTCTATTCTTGTAGAATTCTTGCTAAGAGGGGCTACACGTGCCATGTCGACTGGTGGTCCTTGGGTGTCTGTGCGTACGAGCTTCTCTTCGGGCGGCGTCCTTTCCGAGGACGGACAAACGGCGATCTCACATACAGCATAACGAAGGATCCTCTAAAGTGGCCTGAGGATGCGGAGAAGAAATGTAGTAGACCTGGCATGCTCGTCCTGAAAGGGGTGAGTCTCCTATATGTACCGATCCAGACCTTAAGCTTACAAGGGCCTTCAAAGCTTCTGGATCGTGATACCTCTAGACGATTTGGATGTAAGCCAGATGGAGAGGGTTATCAGGAACTTCGTCGGCATCCTTGGTTCAAATCCATTGACTGGGATACATTGGAAACGAAAGAACAGATACCACCATTTGTCCCTGATGTGAGTATAATGCATATCATGTGTCCTGTGCTGACGATACTGTACAGGCGAAGAAAGCCAATTTTGATGCATCTCACGAATTAGAAGAACTTTTACTGGAAGACAATCCGCTGAAAGCAAAAGCCCGTAAAGCTAATCAAGATAATCTCAGCGCTGAAATGAGACAGATGGAAGACCAGTGCGCTCTTGTGACTTCTGTCTCATTTTACCTGTTTTGACGATTATCGGACATAGGTTCACATCATATGACTTCAAGAAAATGCAACGACGCTCGTATTACCCACATAACCAGCACCTAGTATCCATGGCTACGGCAACGTCGTCTGGAATGGCATCGTCACGACCTACCACACCCGCGAACGAACTTCGCGTCGATAGTGGAATAACGATTAACAATTCCATAGATATCCCCACCCCCGATACCGACGGAATACCCCACGACAAAGAACTACCTTCAGAAAAGGATTACCGGTGACCCTGTACGTATTTTTGGCGCCACTGGTCTGCTCAGGCTCAGACATCAGCGTTTCAACAGCAATTATGCCTTCCTTTTTCGTCGTGTACATGCATTTTCTATCCTTTTCGTTCATCGGGCCGTCATCATCTTTGCGCATCTCTCACTCATATTCACGTTCTCTTGTGTCCATCCATCTAAGCTGTCGTGGGTCGGCATTTTCCTGCTTGTTCATGTCAGTACCCCGTTGACTTGCTTACACTTACCTGTCTATAACTGTCGCTTACGCTTGGGTCCCTGTCTGTTATTTTTATGGTCTTAGTAATGCGGCTTTAGCACCGCTGTACGGTCGTGGATCGGGAGATATCGAACAGATATTTTATACCCTGATAGACCCTGATTTATTAGATTCGTGTCACGAGACTCGACGCGGCAACAATAACATAATTTGGAACCCCGGTCCGGCCACGCTTTGACAGCGACTGCCATCATGGATTCCTACGACTCATCAGATGACACAAACGATGTCGACGACGAGTCCGAACACGACAGGATTGATTTCTCCTTGTGGGTAAAATTTCGCGTTATATAGTAGCAGCTGATACCGACATTATCAGTTTCACATCACTCCTTACTGCCATCGCCCAAGTTTCATCGAACAAGAGTGCAAAGGTACCCCGTTACAAGGCAGATTATCCGGCCTTGAACAAGTTCCGTCTCTGGGTTGACGCGTTTCGGAAACGCTACCCCAATCCCGCCAAGGGTACCACGGCAATTATTTTCCGACTTCTGTTTCCCGAGGAAGACGTCCGTCGCAAGTATGACATGCAAGAGAAGCGGCTGGCTCAAGCCCTCGGCGATGCCCTTGCCACTTCTGACCCTCGTTTACTCAAATGGGACCAGGACGGTGCTTCTGGGTGTCTTGGGGCAGAAGTGCGGCATGTCATGAACCAGACTTCGACAGTGAGACTTCATGAGCATTGCCTCGAGAGAACTTCTCTTACTGATCTTATAGATTGACCCAGAACAACCTAGTCGTCTGACAATAGATGAAGCCGATATGTTTCTCGATGAACTAGGCCGCACTCTCTGCCTATTCTGATTCTTCTGTCCGTTCCAAGCACCCATCTTCAGTGAGGCGGAAGAGGAGCCACATAATTCGCGCGTTATATTCAAGGCTGTCCGCCGTCGATGCTTCTTTTCTTACGCAGATCATCCTGAAAGATCTCCGTCCGTTATTGTATAACTCCAATTCACGGCACTACACTGACGCTCTAAAAAATTACAATTCTACGTCAATCAAGGCTCTCAGTAAGGAGGATGCTATGAAAATATGGGATCCCACCAAGTCTATGCTTCAGTCTTATAGCTATGCCGCAACTCTGGAGGACGCAGCTGCCGCTTTTGAAAACGGAGTAACCATCTCCGCACCGAAACTGGGTGTGCCGATAGAGGCATGTTTCTGACTAAGGACTCCCTTCGTCCCCACTTAATGACACTCTTTTACAGATTCCAAAATCTTTGAAGGGCCAAGGATGCTCGCATGCTCTCTCCCTCCTTCGATCAGCCAAAGTGGTTTGGGTGGAAACCAAATATGATGGCGAACGTGCACAGATTCACGTCGAGGTGTTACCGAGCGGTATACCCAATATCACTATATTCAGCAAGAGCAAACGCGATTCCACACAGGACAGAGCTGCGGTCCATTCTATCGTCGTTGATGGTCTCGGGCCTGATCTTAAAAGAGGTCGGATCAGGAACGCCATACTAGACGCCGAAATGGTTGCACACAATGGAGAGCGCATCGATGGTACTGACTTGGACCTTACAACGGACCGTACTAACTATTGTGTGTAGAATTTTGGAGAATTCGAAAGCTCGTTGAAAACACAGCTGTTGGTCCTCGTGCTAGAAAAAGGCCGTCTGTCATCTCGTTAGTCTTCCGCATCAGCATCCGTTTGGCTCTACTCATTGTGAAGCACACATCAGGGAAAGCCAGTCTTCGCTCCTATCTGATGATGGCAACGAGGAACGCCACCTTGCCCTTGTCTTCTTCGATGTACTCTATCTCAACTCAGTGTCCTTACTTTCTTCGCCTTATAGAGAGCGGCGAAAGATTTTAGAATCGATAATTCAACCTATACCCGCCTATGTGATGCTCTCTGATCGGATTCCGATTCTAATGCATAACCCTGAAGAAGCCGAGGCCAAGTTTCGCCAGGTGTACGCAGAATCAATTGCGGATTATCAAGAAGGAGTCGTTCTAAAAGCCGACGATGGTGGCTATAATAGAGTAGGTCATCCTTGGGTCAAATTGAAACGAGACTATATTCAAGGTTAGTCGCTTGTTTCGCCTGTAGACCGTCTAACCAGCCTTGGTAGGTCTAGGAGACACAGTCGACTTAGTGTTTCTTGGTGCTGGGTGGGCCAAAGATCGTGGTCGAGAACTTAATGGTAACGTCTAATACTACTGGCTTTCAGACTTTCCTGTAACTCTATGACAACAGTTCCAACGGATACTTTCACAACATTCTACATCGGTACTCTCACAAATTCTGAAGAGCTAAAGTATAATGTAAGTACCTCTCTTAACACTTTGATCAATATCTCTGAAGTCATCTGTAGCCCGATGCGCGACCACACTTTCTCGTCCACTTCGTAGCTGAGTATGGATTGAACCGTGATACACTAGAGCACATCAATTTCTGTATCAAAAGTTCTGAACCGGTTCCATATTCGTTATCCCGCAAGGTGCGTTGAGCTTACACAGTCATCGTACATTGAAGTGAAGTCTTTGCATGACATAGTCCGAAGCAGACTTGCCATATTTGTTTGAGTTATACAAAGGTTTACATCCTCCATCATTTCTTTTGCGATGCCCGTTACTAGTAGAAGTCATGGGAGCCAATTTCACGAAATCGGAGGGCTCTAAAGTATGCGTCTTTTGTGGATCCTCGATGATGCCCTAACACCCCCTCTGTAGGAATACGAATTGCGCTTTCCTAGAATCTTGAAGATCTATCGGCCAGCCGAACGATCTTGGAGAGACGGGGTCAATCGCCAGGAGCTTCGTAAGATCGCGAGGAAAGCTGTTGGTAGGGATTCAAAACACAAAGATATCGAGGATGATGCTAGGACTATTTGGAAGCTGCCCACATCCTCCAGCGTGAGATGCTTGGAAAGAAGGAAGACAACGATTGTTACGTATGAGGAGAAGCTCCTCGAGCGAGATCGCAAACGAAAGGGAAGCTCGTGTTTCGACTCAGCTCCGACCAAGAGGATGAGGAAATCCGATACAATCCCTGCTGTTGCTATCTCCTCACCACGATCTCCTTTGCGCATGGCTACAAACATCATGCATCTTTCTTCACCCATACCTGGTACGCCGTCTCTCCAATCACCAGAATCGCAACCTACGAAAGTCCCTCTGTCATCTTCGCCCCAATTCGAGGTCAATTCCGAGTCCAAGTTTTTGCAAGAATCCCTCGTCTTCTTTGTCGAATCTCCTTCTGACAGTCTTCCCTTTGCACGTCCGTGGAAGAAGCTTGTTCCGCACCATTGCCGTGTCCATGCCCTGAGCTCTTTGTTTGATGGATGTGGCTGGCAAACGGCTGGCGAACGGCGCTCATCGCCGTGGGCTAAACGAGGCATAATTTTCGTTGACAAGGGCCGTTCCGCAACAAGAGACTGGGAGGCATACATTTATGAGAACATCGCCAAACGCAAACTACCTTTGCCAACGAGAAAGCCGATCTGGATATTTGATGGTTCTTCGCCAGTGTCGATTCTCAAACGACAGGCCTTACATGTTTTCTCATAGTTTTCAGTTTCTGGTATACTTTTCTACTAGACTTGAATTATATAATCGAGTCCATTACCCATTGGCCACCTTTTGGGCGGCTTTCTCTGCAATCTGCTCGTACTTTCTCATCCCTCCTTCAAGTAGTTTCAATTGTCCCTTCACAAGTCTGTACACCCTCCCCTTTGTAGTTGGTCTCGCCCTTGCTTTGTGATCAGCGTCATCACTATCATCCTCATCTCCCTCATCCAGCTCGCCTTCGACGACAGCTCGCATGAAGTAGCGGTCATGCGTCACTACCAGCAGAGCGCCTTCAAAGTTCATTAGGGAATCTACCAGTGCGGTAATGGTGTCGCTGTCTAGATGTGTAGTGACTTCATCGAGCACAAGTAGATGTGGTGCCACATATACCTCTTCCCCAGATCCCGACAGAAGACACGCAGTTAAAGCCACGCGGACTTTCTGTCCACCGGAAAGCTTAGCCAATGGCACATCAGACACCGTTGGCCCGGACAGACCTAAGGAGCCGAGAATCCTTCGTGCTGTGGGTTCATTCAATGCCTTTGGGGTCAATTGAAGGAGATGTGAGAGCGCAGTTGTAGTAGGCTGCATGGACCCAAGCTCAGTGAGCTTTTCAACTTCATGCTGAGAAAAATGTGCCATCCTCAAGCGCGGATGAAGACTGATAGTTCCTTGCGTAGGTTTGAGCGCCCCTACGACTAGGTTTACGACCGTCGACTTTCCGTGACCATTCATCCCACACAACCCGATGCGTTCTCCGGAATGAAGTGAAAAAGTAATATCTGACAAGATCATGGGATTCTTCGATGTATATCGAAATGATACATGCTCGAAGCTGACAAGGGCTCCAGGATACCGCAGCGGGGGTGGTTCGGAGGGAAGTGCGATTTTGACCGGCGGGTCCATTGTTGGTATGTGCAAGTCTGCCCTATTCTTCAGGTGGTACCCAGCTAAATCTCTATTCAGCTTAAACCTCGTTCCCTTCGCACCAACTTCGAGGCCCAAGCGTTCTTCGATCTTCTTCTTCCTCGAGACAGCTTGTTTGAGCTTCTTATCGTCCCCCGTCCGCTTGGCTGCGTTAATGTTAGATTGAATAGACTCTTCCATATGAGTAGTTTTCTTGTCCGCTGCGTCCTTCATGCGAGTCATCCATTTGATCTGTTTCCTTCTCTCCATTTCAAAAGCTGATAGATTTCCTTTGAACGTCTCGATTTTCTGTTCGCGAAGAATAAGCAGTTCTTGTGCCACTGCATCAGCAAAATCGTGGTCGTGTGTGGTGACAAGAACAGTAGTGTCTTCGAGGGAGTGCAAATACGACTGAAGCCAAACGACTGCAGGCAAGTCAAGGAAGTTGGTACACTCGTCCAAAAGCAGGATGTCGACTTTCTGAAAGAGTGCGCATGCGAGCTCACATCGGGTACGCCATCCGCCCGAAAGCGAACCGAATGGTTGATCGAGTTGCTCTGGTTGAAAACCGAGGCCCAAGAGGATAGTACGCGCACGGGCTTCGGCACTACCTGAGTTGATCTGTGTCCAGTAGCATAAAAAAATGCTTGATGTAGAAGGAAGAAGGAATGCATACAGAATCTAGTAGAGCTTCCAACTCTGCTAATTTGTCGATAGCGGTGGTAGACGCTTGTTGGATGGTCAGTGAATCGACCTCCGCACCATCCTGTAGCAACCTATGTCTAATGAAAAACAAAAACTGCAGCACTGGAGGAAAACTTACAACGCTGAAGAAGCAGCTACCCTCTCTTCAGCAGCAGTCAACTCTTTCCGAGCTTTGGCACCGCGAGCACCGCTCCTGTACGAAGCGATTTCTTTCATCTCTGCTAGCTTCCTTTCGAGTTGATCATGTTCAATTTTCCTAACCGTTGTAACAATATCAAGAGGACTTATAGACTCTAGTGCTTCAGAAAGTGCTTATAAACAGTTCGGCCTGAATGTTTGTAGTTCTCAGGTAGAGATGAGGCTAACCTTGGACATCTTTGAGGGCGCGCTGACGCCTGGAATCGCTGCTTATGACGTGACCAAATACTGTGGGCACTATACTTTGTCCAGCACCGGCTGTAGCTGGATCAAGGGCAGTCCCTACCAGAACGTTTTGACCAAGGAGAAGCATGCGAAGGCCCCACGATACTCCAGGGATACGTCCTTCGGCCAGCGCACGCAGCAGGGCTATATGTAATATGTTAATACGAGCTTTCCAATAGCATAATATAGGTTGTATACAGACTTGATTTGCCTATTCCATTGCGACCTACAAGCACATAATGAACATTTTCTTGCAGTTTAAGGTTGGTATGTGCAAGGATTTCTTTTCCGCCAATGGAAATACTCAGATCATGTACGTCGATCTTGTTAAATGTCAGTGTCGATACAAAGTACAGTTAAAGAGATCAGCATACTTCTTTTGATGTCGGGACGTCCACAGCGTCGACGTGAAAGCGACTCTGGGCAGCAGTGACAACGAGGGTGTTTTTGTCAGCGTTCTTGGATTTCTTGTTGGTAGACATGGCAGTGTAAAGTAAGCCATTTTAGTGTCGGAATAGTAGCGACAAAGTAAGGGCGGAACCGAAGCCACCCAGGATGACTCGGGCCGGAAGTCGGTCCGAATATCCGACAGGCAGTCAGCCAAACAGGCGCATACGTGCACAACGACGAGTTCTTGAGCGCGACACCACTCTTGTTCCTACCACCATCCTCCCGCTCTTTTTCCGGTACCAAATGCGGTCATGTCTTTTTTTGGATTCGAGCAAAGTGACTTAGAAAAGGAAAAACAGCGTTTCCTTGAGGGAGGCGTCCAGGACACTGAAAATTTAGCTGTTTACACTTGGGGAGAAGAAAGCTACGACGGTTTAGGCGATGCTTTACAGGAAGGCGGTGATGACTTCAATGATGAGACCTTTGGCAGTACTGGTGCCGTTGGTGAGTACCGCCGTCGTTATCGCAGTATCGTGGTTAATCATTGCTACGTCGAAGGCAAGGACTTTGATTTTTCCAATGCGGGCGGCTTGCATGACTCCCATGCGTTGCCTGGACATCCCGACAGCTCAAAAGATGCATTGACTCAGGAAAATTCTGCACTTCAAGTTAAAGAGCCTACTCCTGCAGTTCAGACTCAATCTTGTACGTTGGGCGTCTGTTGTATCTTCGGTCTCAATCTTACCCTCATTGGATTCAGCATCGAAAACGATTCCTGCCCGCTCTTTGGAGTCTCTTTGGGATGACAAGTCTCCCTTCTCCGTTCTCCCTCGTAACAACGGTGCTGTTCGGTCAAACCCGAGCTCGTCTTCCTCTCCATTTGCCCCACAGTCAGCAGCAAGAGGTCCCCAGACCTTATCTCAAAACGTTTCACAGTCTGGCGTGCGCACACTGGCTGAAATAGAGGCTGAGATGCGCACTGCGACCCAGCAATCTCGACAGGCTGCGGTACACCGGGAGAAACTTCTTCGTAGACAACAGGAAGAAGAATACTTACGAGAGCAGGAACTCCTTCGACAACAACAAGAGGAGGAGGAATATTTGCGCCAGGATCAAGAGCTGCAGCGGCAACGCTATTTGTACCAACAGGAACAGCTCCAAATGCAACGTCTGCAGCAGCAGAGGGAACTTCAACAGAGAGAGCTGCTGCAGCAGGCACAGAACACGCCTCCCCCTCGCATGCTTCCGGTGTCGCAGTCTCCCCGATTCCTCGAACACCAGAGACAGATTCTCCTGCTGCAGCAACAACAAGAACAGCAGCAGATCCTTCGGACTCCAGGAACTCCAAGAACAATTGCGAATGGAGAGTTTGGAGCGACAATTGCGCGCGCAACAATTGAATAATCTCGGGACTCACCATCGTCAATTGTCAGGCCAGAGTCTATCTCCCCAACCCCAGCACCAGCACCAGCGTCGTCAACGGTCACGTTCCCCTTCTGGACCTATCCAGTTGCAGGACAATCTTTCATATCATCCCCAAAATATCCAGTTCCAGCAACGGCTTCTGTCCGAGATGGCACAGGCCGAATTTTTGCGTGATATGCAAGGATCAAACCCTGCGGAGCAAGAAGCCTTACGTATGGAGGCTATGCGCAAGATAGTCGAGGCCGAGAAGTTGGAAGAGAAGAGGCGAAGGCGTGCTGCTAAGATTGCCCATATGGTTCATCTCTCTCTTTGCTGTTCAACCTCTTGCACTGACGTCGAAGTATCACAGTCCAGATACAATGACCTTATGACCCAATCGGACAAAGACTTCATTACTCGGATTCAGGTTTCTCAGCTAGTGACTCAGGATCCTTATGCTGACGACTTCTACGCCCAAGCGTATGGTGCTATCATGCGTTCGCGGATGGGCATTCACTCTCAGGACGAACGAGTGCTAAAATTTGGGTCTGGCGGGGGTATAGGTTTGGGTATTGCACCCAAAGGAGGCCATCGAAGGCAGAGCGCTATGCAGAAGATGGAACAACAGGTGGAACGGATTGTTAGCAATGCTCGACGCCGCGAGGAAGAGAAAGGCCTGCATTGTGAGTATCTTAGTCATTGCGCACAAGCTCTTTTTGAAATATCCTTCAAGCACTTCACAGCCTGCAGGGTGCTTTAGGAAAGACTTCTGGGCGAAGTTACAAAGCTGCACCCCGCCAACTTCTCCAAGTAGATTCTAGCAGCACATCTTCGTCACCCACGTTGTCTCATGCTCATGCGCACATCTCCAAGCAAGATTCTATTGATGCCAAAAACAAGGGTAAGGAAGAGGCCGCCGCCGAAGCTGCGAAACTGGGTCGAGAAGCGCTAGGGACAGCCGCTGATGTTCGTGCATTTGTTCCATCTACCCCATCGGTGTTGACATTGGATGGTAGACCTCATCAGACCTCATCCGGAAGGACCCAGTTGACTAGGAGAGAGATTCTGACGTGTTTAGAAGATTTGCATGATTTGGTACTGAAGGCGGAGCAACTCAAGCAGGAAGAACCCTTACCTGAAGAAGCGCAAATTTATGCTGAGTGGTACTTACAGTAACTCACGTATTGTTATTTCTTACTCACGTATCTTTACAGGGAACACGAATATTCCGGAGTGGTAGACCAAATGTGGAACCAACTTAAAGTGATGGTACCCATCGCCACAAGGTCACATTCACTGTTGTATACTTTCGCCCTGTATTCACCTTCGCTTTCAGTGACCCGCACCCATTTATATCCCTTCTGAGTGTGGCCAAAGGGAAACGGGTCCTCTCCCGCTTGGCGCGTCATTTCGACAACCAGCAAATGCTTACGATGTTGACTCTTCTCATCGCATGCTTCAATCAACTGGATGTCTTCAGACAGGCGCCACTCTTGGACACCCTTGAGGATACGCCAGAACGCGTAGAAGTCGAGCGACAGACGAACGCTTTTCTAAGCAATGTGCTGCATAGCATCGTATCTGTAATTAGCAATGGTAGCTTGCGGCTTGTAACGGGCCTTCTCGGATTGCTTTTGGATCGGAATAACGTTTCGGAAGTTGCGCAGACACAGGTATGTCTTGCTCTTGTTTTCATGAACACATTGTTGAGGATATTTACAGCCTGGTCTTTCACTCCTCACACTATTCCTTACGAGAGTTCAAGTCATCAAAGAAGGTGCAGCTGTCTTAGAGAATGAGCTACCAACCGTAGAAGATGCAAATCAATGGTACCATCTCGACTACGTTTTCAATGTAAACCATGCTTATCTCAATCACAGGCAGCTCATGTTCGACCACATGTTTGAGCAACTCACTCCTGATTTTCTCCTTGCTTTTCCCATCTTCAAGAATCGTTGCCCGCGGGTTTCATCTTAATCAGGCGGACTATCGCCGTAGATATTATCGATAGGCCAGTCTGGCAATTCCTCGCTGCTTTGGCCCTTCATGCACTTCCTGAACAACAGCCGATCTTAGTGCATTCACTGCGTGAGAAGGTGCTCGAAAACGTCGTTAGTGCAAAGAAGGGTTGGGTATCGGACGAGCAAGAAAGGCGGGCAAAACTACACAATGTTGATCTATTTTTGTCCGCGCTTGGTTTGAGTAGTTCACAGATTGATTTGTAGTGTTTTGTTGTAATTATTTATCTTACGTTCACCTGTTTCAACTGAGTTGTACATTTTTGACGCTCCTTTGCCTTGACACATTGCACAATGACAGCTGCGCACATTCGTCTTCAGCAGTGACTGATAACAACTGTGTATGACCATCGGGGAAAATAAAAAATCATCGCCTATTATCTATCAAGTCCGACACTCTCGAAACCCGGATATCGAAGGAGTTTACAGATCGCCACAAGAACGAGTACGACGTAGTCCGCGATGGCCTGAGGTCTGTAACCTGAAACTTGAGTGCCTTTCATGGCCAAAGAAATATCGGAAGGACGGGGACGAGAACACCGACACCGATTAGTTCACCATTCTAGACATGCGAGACACATCCTCTGCTGATAATGGGCCACCCGCCCCGTCAGTCATCTTGGTCAGAGAAGAGTCCAGAATCGTCGCAAATTTGATCATTCCGGGCTTTGAGAACATCCTAGTATGCTATGTAACACGAAGATGTAGGATAAGTAAATTAGGGAGGGAAAAGGAAGGTAGAAGAAGGAGATTTAAGCTTGATTTGAAACCAAGTGGAAGCATAGGGAGAGGCGGAGCCTCACCAGGCACACGAGAGCTGATTAAAAGCTCGTAGAATAATTAAATGAAGGAAGTCTATGTGGCCTGTAGCTGGCATTAGAACCGACATTAGTCCGACAAGACGCGTAAACAAAAGGGAAGAAAGTTCTCACCACTTGAAGAAGACCTTTTGCTTTCAGGGAAGAACAAGATTTCTGTATCGTTGCCTCGAAAGGTTTTAAGAGATCATCCGATACAGAGTAATCCAGTGCAGAGAGTTTAACCACTACCTTCCGTAGAAATCCCTTTGCCAGTAACGTCAAAGCACTATCTAACGCTCTCCATCTGGCTGCTTGGAAGAAGGCCGCGCATCCTGGTGAATAGCCCCAGCCCTTCATCTCCACCACTATTGTTACAACTTCGATTCGACACTCGAACTGCAGCATCAAGAACATGTCGACCCACCACTGCAATTGTGTGGAGCAATCCAGGATGGTCACGGTCAAATATTTCAGGTAGGATACGTCAAGTGTCGGAGTCCTCCCTGCTAGTGTCATAGTAGCGGATTGGTCGGGTTGGAGTAAGAAGGTTCGCTTGAAGGACGTGCAAAGATGAGATTGTCCAAATATCAGGTGTTCGAGAGAAGTACAATCCATCATGATGGCTCGCACGGTTCCGACATCATGGGTACTACATCCATGGACCTCAAGCACTTTGACGTCCTGCAAATTGATCAAAGGATGAGGTTGGTTCAGTAGGAGGCTTTGGACTACGGTGGCGCTGTTCTTCATATCCAAGCTCAATTCGCGTAGCTTCAGTGGAATCGCGGGGGACGGGAGCGGAAGCTGGGATGTAGTATGTGATGAGATGAATGTTCCGAGCGACAAGCGCTTCAAGGAGCGTATCTGTGATATGACCGAAAAAAGCTCGACGCTATTCGTAAAACAGACTCGGTCGAGATGGAGCGAGGTCATGGGCATCGAGATTAGGGTCTCGTGTAAGGAGGGATTATGCTTGGCAAGGAAACTTCCCCATACCATGGAATGGACCCTCAACTCCTTCACATTAACCAGCGCCTTGAGTAGGATAGCCAAGTCCCTAGCCCACTGATCTGAGCCAGCGGATTCCTCCCCATGAATACGAAGAATGAGGATAAACCTCGGGATATCCTTAGACGAACGTACCAGTCGATATAACGACTGATAGGATTTTGGATGAATTGTGACATCTTTGAAGAGATGTTTGCAAGCACGAGGGCGCAAGAGACGACTGGCGGCACAACACGCAGTTAAAGATGGCCAGTCAAATTGGAGCTCGTCGACAATAGCGTCAAGAAGCTCCTGAGGCGGTAGTACTAGAGCCATGAGAGAGCGTTCGAGGTAGAAGAGCGAGGTAAAGAGCTGCAGATGCCACGTCTCTACCTTTTACCTGGGATTGCCCCAGATATACAAAAGATCCGTAGTAGCTCTGGTTTCATTGCGTCCAAGAGTCCTAGTAAGCGAGTCCATGGGCTGCGATAGTAGGGACGGCCGCACCGCTGCACAAAATCTATGGCAAGTCATCTTGAGAAATTTTTAGTAACCAATAGACCAGAGTACGTTCAGAGCGTTTCACATGCATGCTTCGAATAGACTTGAAGTCTGAAATTTTCCAAGCTACTTAGGTCTCAAGGATGGAAGTCGCAAACGTTGTGGACTGACGTCATACTCTATCGTCTACTATTAAGCGGTATCTACACTATATCGAAAGCATTTGAACACGCGAAAGGTATCAACATATCTATCATCTATAACAAAAAGTCCGCAGTTAATTGTCCTGCCATATATTCTAGAAATGATTCCGGTGAAGAGTGAGCGTTACAACGCCGAGAACGTCGATTTCCCGTCAACTGTGGCGAAATGTCAATCAGGACTGCACTAGCCGAAATGGAACATACCAAGCCGGGACCGTTAATGGGATCTTGACGGTAGTCTACATGCGCCACAGTCAGATTTCACATCTCTCAAGCTTGATATATCACCTACCGCAAGTCCCTGTTTCAAATATATGAGCAACGAAGAATCGATCCAATCAGAAGCAAGGCCTCTTACCGAAAGACTGGTTTCCTTGTACTTTACGCTCATGTCCGCCGCCGTGAGTCGCATGGCCTCTATGGCCTCATCGAGAGTGACAGTATACACGCCTTGACTCGCCATGGACAGCTGAGCAGCTGTGATTGCTTTGACGGCTATACCCAAATAAACGGATATGAGCAGTGTGATTTTGGAAGAGAGTCCGACAACTAACCACCGAGACTGTTACGTTCCTATAGCATCATGAGCAACCAGTCGGACACCTTGACTCCAACGATGTACTCACGATACATGGAACTTGAACCAAGCCATCTATTGGGTCACACGTGAAACCCAAATTGTGCTCTTTCACAATAAATAATCAATCTGGAGGATCTTGAAGGCAAGCGAATGGAATTACCTATGCCTATTTCGGCCGCCTAGAAGAAGGCCTCAGTACGAGATTCCTCGGCGTTCACACAAGACTCACTTGCAAGACTGTCTCAGGAGAGGCTTGGGGGTCAAAAATAAATGAACCGAAAGAGAAAGAATTTCGGCAAGAAGCTTACCACCCATGCAGGCGGCGAAGCCAGCACTTGCCATGGAACAGGCAACTATGTAGCCGTCATTAATGAAACAAGGCTTTCTACCGAACAAGACTCACCACCAACTTCTGCCTGGCATCCTCCCTCCGCCGCAGATATGGTGCTTCCACGCTTGAATAGCATTCCGATCGCCTATGGAAGAATCTTAGAACGAACACCACAACCGTGGTGAAAACAGCATACAGCAGCCGTAAGAAGAAAAGTCATGATACTCTTCTCAGGATCATCGCTAACAAACTGAAACGACATTAGTTGATAATATAGAGATGGGGTCAAACCCACCTCAAGAATGTATTTCAGGACCGAAGGGATTACACCTGCTGCACCATTAGTTGGCGACGTGACGATTCTTCCACCACTAGCATTGACTTCATTGACAGCAATTGCATAACACGACAAGAAATCCATAGCCGGAATCGTAGTTTTCCTCTGAAACACAGCTAAAGAAACTATCTACGATCATCAATGATAGTGAGGAGACTTACCGGAGGCACGGGTAACAGCGAATGATCGAAACTGCCCACCACCCTAGTCACTTTGTTTCTTCTAGTAATCTTCGAAGTTCCAGACAGTGGTCTATTCAGCGTGTCGTCCGTCATTTCTTCGCTGTATTCTGGAGAATCGATCGCTTGTATGTCATCGGAGGGTCGACCTGGCCCAATGGCTGGTAAAGTTGGCGAGGTGATACCACTATAGAATCCTCGCATCAATCGCCTGTACAGCATGGGTGCCCGCCGACGAAGTCCAAGTCTTCCAGGCAGTGTCGGATCGACAGCCGAAACACCTGCCCGAATACAATCGTCCATGACTTCCCATATCCGAAAAATCTTTTGAGACGCCTGTCAGTTTCTTTAAGTTACATTAAATCCATGCACCTACTTTATCGTGTATATCATTTTCAGAATACCCAAACGACTTTTCGTTATCATAAACGATTTGTGCGATGGTCATCTAATAAGACATTTGAAGTTGGACACGACTTTTTGATGACAATGGTCAAGACTTACATTGTGCTTCTTCGTCAAAGCTAAAAGACTGTTCCCAGATTCAAAAGGATAAGGCGGATGATCGCTGACACCGGGGGTATCTTCGGGCAAACCTGATGGTTCTGCTTCGATCTGGGGTTCCGACAAGGAGTGCGTTTGATGTAGCCTCGCAGCTTGGACGACTCGTTTATCGACACCCTTGTAGAACAAATTCTCGTCCACTACACAGCAGGGGGGAGGTTCATATAAAAATATCAAACGACTTCTTAAACTAACCTTTGGTCTTTTCGTTAACAACAAAACCGCCTCCGACACTACATGAAGATGAAGAGTTTTCGGACCGAGAAGTATTCTACATACCTGAAATATTCATTGGTAGCTAGTAGATCTCCATCCTCTCCGAAGCAGCTGAATCGCATTCCGTTTGGATGAGTCTTGAGAACTTGATCCCAGCGCCACAACATGTCGCGATCCATGTCATAATGGATTCGATGGTGACCACCCAAGTAGAGAGACTTGGTGGTCAAGATGGAATCATACCGAGACGGGATGGTACCAGTATCAATTGTTTCCGGATCGGAGCCTGAACGGACGGTCAGCGTCAGAAGGTAAGCTTAACAGTGCATGTTTCGCCTTCTAGCCCAAGAAGGATAGCTTGAGGTGTGTGGTGGCTATGACAAGAATGAAGTCAAGTACGAAACGCCACGTAGGCAATAGGATAATACCCTTTTCCTATTAGAGGGAATGTGAGGAAATGGGATATATATAGAAACAGGTCAACGACGCACCTGTGGCGGCGAGCGAACCGTATCTGGACAGAGTGAATATGTAAATACCACAGAAAAGAAGGGGATACTAACAGAGTGATTTTTACCATCTTTACCTACAAAAAGTAATTCCAAATGTAAGAGAAACGCGTTAGTGAGCTAAAGTGACTCACCTTTTCTAGCAATTGCAACTCCTTTAGATCGTTAATAAAAATCTTTCCGGCGCGCATTGGGCCAACGGTGTGGGATGAAGACGGACCGACTAGAGAGAATTTGGGTTGAAAAACGCGTTAAAGACTGACGAGTTCATACCACCGATGCTAAACAAGTCAAATGCAGATATGACTGCATGCTCTGGCTGCTGGGGCGTCTCTGGGACGACGAGTTTGGTGCTGAACTGGGATCGCAAAGGAAAGAGTGGTCGACAACGAGCGAGTCGAGGTAGGACGAGGCGAAACATAACAACGGTACTGACGACGGTCAGTGTCAAGGAGGACGCAACCTCTGATTGGCCAGAGCCAATGGATAAGAGGGAATTCAGAATGATTTCAAATAGTAGACTCTCAAACCTGATTGGCTACCACAGCTGATGCCTGATAGGAACGTCACGTGGGCAACGAATTCCTTGCTCGGAGTCGCCGACACCCGTCGTCCTTTACCTTCTCCCATCGTTCCTCATCGTCTCCACGACGGCAATGTCTTCCAGGATGCCGTCGTCTTCGATGTACTCGACGTCGGTACATCCATCTCCATCACGACCCGGTATTCCCTCAGCTTCATCATCCACGACCAGTCTCCAGGCCTCCTCAACTAATACGCTCTCACCTGCTCCTGGTGTCGTTACTGTTGAAGCATACCTGGCCCAACATTCTGCGGCCTCCGATCCGAAACTCGCTGCACTGGAACAGTCGTTGAATGAACGTAATACTCTGTCACTGCAAAACGCCCAGCTCTGGAAGCTCATTGAGAAACAACGCTCGGGGTACAATCAAATTTTGAAGGAGCTGGAACGTGTGCGAGGCGAGCGGGATGGGTACAAAAGCAAGTTAGCTGCCTGTTCACAACTCCCCTCACAGCGACCGGCGGCATCGAAACCATGACAGAACCCACCAGCTTGCCCCAGCTCCGTCGGGAAGTCCTGTTCCTTCCAGCGAAGGCGGGTCGTTGAATGAAGAACATACGTCTGATACAAAGCACGGTACGCACAAGCACCGCTCTGACGAGCAAGGTATGTCCCATTGTATTTTCTCATCTCCTCCGTTTTTACTGTTCTTGAAGCGACACCACGACTACCATCCCATTCCCTGAGTTCCCAAGAGCCCGTATTTCCCAATCAGTCTTCCTCGTCGTTTTCTTTGCGTACGGGACCACCATCTCTGTCTCCACTGGTTGTTCCTCCACGATCAGAATCTCTTCCTGTACTCGCCTCCATCATATCAGCTCCTCAGGAGACAGCACCTCTCCAGCAGCAGCAACCTCACCATGTATATACGGATTCTGTTGTCAGCAACAACTCTGCCAGTTCGACTACGAGTACACCAGACCGGCCTCAGGCCTATGCGCGCAAGTCCAGTATTACAGAGAGTATATCAAGTGTCAGCACGGCTGGCAATGGCACATCATTCTCGTCAACAATGCCGCCTCAACAGAGCTCGCATTCACCTTCGTATCATGCTGGTTTTACGCCACAGACGGCGCCTGCCGGTTTCATATCTCCCCCAATACACACACCTCCAGTCCAGCAGCCTAGCGTAGTCATCTACAACTCCCCAACCACTCCCGTGCCACCCTCTCAGCCTCAGCCAAGTTCTTCCTCTGTACTTTCTGTTGATGCCCGGCAACTTTCACGAGAATCTCGTATCACTCTTCCAGATGAAGCGAGAAATTATATCACAAACATGGTCGATTCTCCCGTTCCGAGTCCAAGATCGAATGATACTTTCACCGCTACCAATTCCCCTCTGGCTGAAAGTGCCAATGGTGATGGAGCTCCTGATTCCCGCTATTCTGATCGTATAATGTCGGATAACCAAAAGAAAGGCGAGTTTCTTGATATGGATGAGGAGGATCCTCTGGATGACGACGAGGAAGAAGAGGATGCAGATGAAAGGGACGCGTACGATGCAGTTGAGCCCGGAAACTCGGGCCCTACTCCGGTCCAATCGACATCTCCGGTGCCACCGCATAGCCGGAAAAACAAGCCTCGAGCAGCTGCTGAAGACTTTCCACTACCACCATCCTATACCAACTCGCAGAAACAAACGCAGGCTGTTGCCCGGGCGCGTGCTGCAGCAGCAGTTTCGTCTCCACAGCGTCCCAGTGGCTACGATTACCCTGATCCTGACCAAGCACAAGGACAGCCACTACAACAAGATATGCGAGAGACGCCCAATGTACCTGCGTTCCGTGCCCTTCCCTTACTCTCCACAGATCTTCCTCGTACAACCATCAATGTGTCGCATTCCTTTGTCAGGCCAAATGACCGCGGCAAAGAAGTTCTTTCATTCGTAGTGGAAGTCAACCCTGGCAGCGGCAAGGACGGATGGAAGGTGGAGAAGATGTACTCGGACGTTCTGAACCTAGATCAGAGGGTGCGAAGCAGCGTCGGGAAAGGCGTTGGTAAGAAGATTGCGAGCTTGCCGGAAGGGAAGCTCTGGAAAGACCATGCACCGGCTAAAGTCGACCAGCGGAAGGTAAGTACCCCAATAGGTGTACGTGCTTCGACCGTTCAATTGAATCCAGGCCGTTCTTCAAAACTACCTTCAAACTCTGATCAAACTACCGGTGAAGAATAACGATGAAGTGATTGCGTTCTTCACGTCTGACATCATGCGCGAGATGAATCAGCCTGTGATGCAAGCCGGACACAAAGAAGGGTATTTGACTAAACGTGGCAAGAACTTTGGGGGATGGAAAACCCGGTACTTTGTTCTGCAGGGACCTGTGTTGGAATACTATGATTGTGTATGTGGTCTCCGATCTTCATGTTGTCTCCGGTTTCAAATAAGCTTTTGCAGCGTGGTGGAGCACATCTGGGCTCAATAACAGTCACAGGAGCTCAGATAGGTCGACAACAGCGGACAGAACGGCCTACGACTACGGATGAAGAAAAAGAGTACCGACATGCGTTTCTCATTGTCGAAGCCAAAAAGGGGCAAGGGGGAAACCATCCGCGACATGTCTTGTGCGCAGAAAGTGATGCCGACCGTGACAGCTGGGTTGAGATGCTGGTGCGGTACTTTTCAGGGACATACAGCGAAGAAGCAGTACCATATTCCTCGACCTCCTCGAGTTCGGGACCGTACACAAACGGCAGCACGTCGGCGACCCTGAGCGAAGGATCATCGATATCGACATCTGCGCCGGTGCCTGTGCGGCGGCCTGTACGAGGCGTGTCGAAGGACGACATCTCTGTTTCCAAACAGGCTGCAGTGCCGATCTCCCGACTTGCGCCGGACGCCTCTAACGCGAAGCTCTTTACAGGTCCGGTGTTGCCGGACGAATACAATACTGTCACGCGATCCTCGAGTCCGTCCAAATCTGTCCAGGAAGCATCTCCTACTGAGCGGTATCCCGGGCCAGCCATTTCGGATGCGCAGAATGCGCGTCGTATTCTAGAACGGGGGCAGGGACTTGCATCAAGTTTACCTGACTCTTCACCTCTGACCAGTGCAAGTGGGGCTAGCGGAACGGATCGTTCGCATTCTGAGTTGGGACACTACTCCGACATGCCTCGAACAACGCGCTCTCCAGAACGTCATCGCGAGCGAGACCAAAAGTCGTTGCATCCTTCGCCTACGCCTGACCGCGACCGAGCACCTTCACCTGAGGGGAAGGTGAAGATATCTGGGCCGTTGAATGGCGCCCCGATTCCAGCTGGGTACAAGTTTGGATCCGGGAGAGATCCACAGGGCGAGTCGGGGAGTGATCGACGAGAGAAGGCCAAGTCGAGAGGCTTCTGGGGCTTTGGTAGGCCGAATGGTAAGTTGTGTCATTGATAATTGACTAGGTTGATGAATGCTTGTTCCTAGGTGCGGAAAAGCCGCCTTTACCGCGACCGGTGTTTGGAGTGACTTTGGAAGAATCACTGGAGGTTTCGTCAGTAGCGCACCTTCCTTCGATCGTGTTCCGCGCGATACAGTACCTGGAAGCGAAAAACGCAGAACAGGAGGAGGGCATCTATCGCCTGAGTGGAAGCTCTGCTGTGATTAAGAATCTCAAGGACATGTTCAATGCAGGTGGGTGCCTTTCGAAGCTATAGGGACGTCACTGACGGAGTGGTTGAAGAGGGCGATATAGATTTGTTGGCATCTGACGAATACTGGGACCCGCATGCCATTGCAGGGCTGTTGAAGAGCTTCTTACGGGAGCTTCCAGCGAGTATACTTACACGGGAGCTACATTTGGACTTTCTTGCGGTTATGGAACGCAAAGACCCGCAGGAACGGGTTCGGACGCTGTCGCACCTAATCGCATCGCTGCCAATAGCCAACTATAGCCTCCTGCGAGCCCTAACTGCGCACCTCATCTTGATCGTGCAGAACTCTGCAGTGAACAAGATGTCCATGCGGAATGTGGGGATCGTGTTTAGCCCGACACTAGGGATCCCTGCTGGGGTGTTTAGTCTGATGCTAGGCGAATTTAATCAAGTGTTTAATGTGGGTGATGTTGAGGAAGAGCTAGCGGAGGATTCGCGGCGGAATAGTCGGCAGTACACTGATGGAGCTGCCGACCAGTTACTGGGACTTGCTGGACGGACGCTGACTGCGCCAGCGGAGAGTGACGGAGAGTACTCGTCATCGGTTGCAGACGATACGGATCAGGAGAGTGCGGTGTCTGGGCCTGACGCTGGGACGCCGCCTGATACACCTCGACTGGGCAAGGCAGCTGGAGTTGCTGCGACGCGTGGGCTAAATGTTGCAGTGAGTGAGAGGGGAAATCGGTATTCTCGAATTGTCGGGAGTCCCCGGGCACCACCAAGTCCCGCTCCCTCCGGGTCGCCTGTACCGTTATGATTTTCTATTCCTTTTGGCTCATCTTGAACATTGTCATCTATCGCATTTTTCGATTGTTGTGTTTATTATACCCCCGTACGATGTGGAATGTGTATTTTGTGTCACATGACGAAGCGTAAATTGAATTTGATCTGAATGAGCGGGTATAGGTAAGCGCTGGCGAGTGCCTTTTTCGTTATCGACAACGATGGGCTTTCGCCACGCAGCGGTGCTAGGACCTGTATCTTTCTTCCTGGGTGAGAAAAAGGTAGTATATTCGTGTGATACTAGACTAATTTAAGCCAGGTATTCTGTCTATTTGCTTTACACTGGACCATGCGCTTCTCTGGCGGCCTGTGACGGCAGAAATCATCTCGGATGGGTTCCAATTCTACACGACGTTCTTCAATGCGCCTACAGCGATCAAAGCGTTGCTACATGCGATGATGGGAATTGGGCTAGTCGGGCTTGTGAGCAAGTTGCACAAGTGGGATGACAGTGCGATGTTTTTTGATGGGTCTTCTTTGGGTCAGCCAATAATTTTTTTTTTCGCAATCAAAGTGAAGAAGCTTATTTTACACACAGGCGCCTACGTGTTTGCGATTGCTGTATACCTGACTGTGATCATTCCTACGTTACGTACGATAGCGACGCCGCTGGAAGACGAGACAAGGGAGGACCGTATTGAAGCCATGCGAGTGCTGAGTGCTGCGAATGTGATTATCGTGGTGTGCCTTGGTGGGATCCTGGCTTTACAGGTGAGATTGATTGGGATTGGTATGGTGCTGGCTGGGTGAACTGATTGTATTCCAGGCAGGGCAAGAATGGGCACGGCGTACGACAGAAGATAAGGAAAAGAAAGAGAAAAGCGGGCAAAAAAGAGTAGAAGGTAGAGTGAATGGGGTATTGTGAAGTGTTTACGGTGGTAGTTGGGCCGTCGATGGACCGCATCAGTGGATCAGTGGACACTTTCTCACAAGCGTGTGAACACTGAGATTTCGATCTGAATTCTAAATGGGGATATGGATTAGTTGGTAATTGGATAATAAATAAATAATGGATCTAGATTGTGCGAAGAAGGATGGAGAAATAAAAGGGCTGGCCTCATGCTCCTCGTTAGTGCAACGATGGACGTCGACTGGTGCTTGACTTGCGAACGCCATCTGGTTCGTCCTTTTCTTTCTTTCCTTCAGCTCTTGCTCATTCTTCCTTTCTAGAGCGGAAACTGGACTTACTGCTCTCCAGAATGCCAACGTCGCGCCCCAGCCAATGTACGGGTCTTGCCTCTGTCGTCTTCGAGCGCGGAGAGCGACGACGAGCCCATTTACCATACCATCCATGACGTTTCTACGTCGGGATGGACGTCCGAGAAGATACAAGCTTGGGCAACCGTGATCCCTCCAGCGTCGGTGCCGCGACCACAACGCGCATACCGTACCCCAAAACTCCTCAGCCAGAGCCGGACACCGCCCACAGTAGCGATGACCGTACCAGAGCAGAGTCGTTCAGACCGTTCCCTTCCCATTTCCCTTCCAAAAAAGCGGACAACCGTCCTAGCCACCCTCGCTGACCACCTTCGTACTTGGGCTATATCTCGACCTTGTCCCCCGCCTGAGCCATCTCCAACAGATTCCTTTATAACTCTTCCTTCTGCACCAGTCAGTCAGCCTTCTTCTTCTCACTATGAAGAGACCACTGCCTCACTGACCTATCAAATACCGCCCTCAAGATGAGCGTCCCCCGCCCCAGACTCGTTTCCTTCATCAGCCTCCCCCTTCCCGTCATCCCCAGGTTCGCCTACGTGACGACCATCATGCTGCCTATCGTATGCGAGGTCGCAAGCCTCGTTCATAACATCATGTTATCCCCCCCCCACCTCCCCCACATTGCATTTTCCCCTCATTCGGAACGGACTAGCTCTCTTTCTTGATTCCTATCCAGTATCCCCAGTATATACTACACAATAGACACAGCACGGATATGTATGATATGTAGCCCTTGTACACCAGCATTGACAATACACCTCACTTCCATCAGACACCTCTCAGTCCGACGTTTATCAGCATTACTTCCGTTGTTCTCTGCTTCCTTGAACGGTCTAGGCGCCAATCCCAATTTCCCACTATTTACTACTTGCCTATATTAATTAACTCCGTTACGTCCTGAACATGTTCAAATTTTATCCCAACCCAAACGCCACCCGCCCCGTCAGCCCGCCCCCTAACCTTTTATAGCTAGCCCTTGTCCTAAATCACCGGAAAAGTATCTCAAAGAGAAATCACCGGACAAGGTAACAAGACATCAGGTCTGTCATGCCTGACATTGGTCCTCCGGTAACTAAACACTAGCTCCTCCCAGGGCATTCCCAAAGGGAAAATATCAAGAAAACCGACGCAGACACCTCAACCAGGTTACATACATGCCGCTTGGCGCTGTCTCGGTACCGCAAATACTTACAGCACCTCAAACAGTGCCACAATTTTTTAAATCCACCTCAACGTTCCTGGGCGCTTCCCCTTCCATGAGAAGCCCCGACTATTGTCCCAGATTGTCCCTCCTTTTTTTACACTTCGGTGCCGCGCGACTTTGGAATTCACTATGTACCACGGAAGAATGCCAGAATTTCTTGAAATTCATCAGTACAATTCAAATCAACGGTTGTATCCGTAGCCCAATTGGTACCGCCCCATCTCTTCAAAAGAGTCCAACAGAACAATCTCAGCAACAACAAAACATTCCAACCTGGAAGGCCCTGGAAAACGCACTACACAAATTCGGTCCCGCGAACAGTGCAACCCAAATGGGAACTGCGCTCAGGGATGGCAAATTAATTGAAAGGAACGACCCGTGATTCCAAAGATATGGCTTCCACTGGCCTTTTCTAGCTCAAGGGCGTAAACCTCTTCGAACTTTGAAAATACTCTGTGTCACAGCCCAGGTCGAAAAGGACGATGGGCCCGAATGCCCAGGGCATGCGCCTCGAGGGTCCAGGCCTCGGCCACCGACCCAGCCAAAAATCAAACTCCCAAGGAGAGTACCCTGAACAGTTCGAATACGGTTTCTCCAAGTAAGAGCCTCAATCTATAGCCAACGCGAAGACCCTGGCATCCAACTTGCGGATCATACTGGAGAGGGATTAATTACCTGGTCACCAGACAACGGAAGCCGGTACGGACATTCGGATAGTCGGAACGGTACTTCGAACTTTCAAGCTTGAAGCCTCAAGGGGAGGCGGGATGTCCGATGTCTTCGTCGTAACGTCGGCACACGGTCCGAGCTGACTCAATAGTCGGTGCACCGACAAATTCCGCAGACTACGCTTTCACGAAAGGGTATTTTCCCCAAGTGGCTAGAGAATTTTTGATTCCAAAGAGATCCTTATCGCTCAAGCTAAACCAGCGTTCGAGTTGGGCTCGAGAGCCTCATGACAGATACTAACAACTAGCGGTCGATCGAATTGAATCAACCAAAATAGGCATTACCTCCGCCTTTGTTTGTATCTGTCTTTTTCACAAGTCCATTCAACTTTGCTCTCGTCGTCGTTGTAGAAAAAAAAAAGGCCCCGTTCGCTGTTCACCATGGTACGCTCCCATTCTTACCATCACCTAGGAAACATGCTCACCAGTCCTTCCAGCCTCCACCAAAATCAAAAGGAGGCAAAATGCTCTCCCTGATCAACTGGCGTCTCAAGGTCACCATCAACGACGGACGCGCTCTCACTGGCCAGATGCTTGCATTCGACCGACACATGAACCTCGTTCTCGCAGATTGCGAAGAGTTCCGTAGAGTGCGGACGAAGAAGAAAGACGCAGGCGAGGCGGGCGCTGGCCAGGAGCAAGAGATCAAGCGCACGCTTGGACTCGTCATTCTTCGTGGCGAGACAGTTGTCAGCATCAGCGTAGAGGGACCGCCGCCCGTCGTCGACGAGGATAAGAAGAATGCTGTATGTTTTTTTCGTCAGTTTCTGCGCCTCGACTCTCTTACCTATTCAACCTTAGCTGCCTGTTGGTCCAGGTCGCGGTATGCCGGCAGGTCGTGGTATGGGTATGATGCCCCCGAGTGCGTATCTCCTTTTCTTTTTACTTACAGTTCGATTCGAATCTTGATCCATTTGCAGTTGGCCAGCCGCCTATGCGTCCACCAATGGGCTTCCCTCCTGGCGGTATGCCAGGCCCTCCGCCTGGATTCCGACCGCCTGGCTTCCCTCCTGGTATGCCTTTCCCACCTCCTGGGTTTGCCGGTGCCCCACCTCCTGGGTCCGTGTTTCCCCCTTCAAATCGTCTTCTCTAGCTGACCCTCTACCCAGCTTCCAACCTCCCCAGTAGTCCTCGTTGTATAGTCTCGCTTGCATCTGTTTTTTGTCTTCAATGTAATCTCAATACTCGGTGCTTCATGCAAAAGAACACGTTCATGTTTTTTCCTTCACGTGGTCGTCAACTTCCTTTTTCTTCGTCTCCGGCCTCTGCGCCCCTTCCCAAAATTGTTGGCGTCCAGATCGTGACTGGCCTCAGAGTCTATCGCCAGGAACGTCCCCTTTAATTGCGAAAGGCACCGCCCTCGACCTCGAACAGTTGCTCTACTTGGCTACAATCTGAACCTAAGCTTCCCCTGTCGATGCCCAGCGGTACCGATGATTACTCTCGTAAATCAATAGAATAGAGTGTTCTCATCGATGAACCAGTGCAATCATCCCTCAAGCTCCCAAGTGCTGTTCTCTCCTTCCCCTCAATTTTTTCCTGCATCCCTAGTAACGTTACTTGTTGATCCAGCTTCGGGTCAAAAAGGACCCGCGTGAAGCCACAAAGACCCCCAATCCTCCTGATCTACGCTAGGAATAACTATACAGTCCCTACCCCGAATCCAAGCCTCCATCCACTGCGCTTCTCAAGCAATAGATATTGAAGAGGATACTCCCGGATCGAATTAGACCCGGGTCGGATGACGGTGTTTTCCCAACGCCAGATAAACACCGATTCTACTCAGTTTTCATTCAGTTCCAGATCTTACTGCGGCATGGTCTCCGCCGTCCGGAGAAGATCAGTTCTTCACAACTCGCGGTGCGTACCCAGGCCTGTTGAGAATTCGAAGGTGGGACCATGAGTAACATTCACACACCATCAGCTTCCCTGTTCATGAGTAGCAAATCAGGAGGTCTTCTTGGTCTTCTCATTCATTCGCACCCAGGAATAACCTTGGCTACGGAAATATGTGCTTAGTACCACCCTAGAGTTAAATATACCACGAGACTACGCTACGGTCCACCGCCTCTCCGTGATATTGGGACACTAAACAGCAACACCTACCTTCCTACTTACATACCTCAACAGCATGCCCATCGCATCAGGATTCTTCTCACGTACACCATACTCTGGTCTTCTCTCTCGGTGGTGATGTACAACTCTTGCCCTTGGAAACCGACGACGCCGTAAACCCGAATCACGGCAAGCCCAGCAATCAGTCTAGATGCCATAAGCTCCCCTCCGCACACGTTGAATGGGTGTACATTGTTGATCCATATGTCCGCATACAGCTACAGAGTTAGAACGGCCTATACAAGTTATCACCCACGTCCGCGATATCGGGGAAACGGGTGCAAATCTTGGTGTACAAAGAACGGAGCTACGTGGAGTGATCGTGGGACTTGAAAAAAATTTCAAAAGAGCCCCCCCTAGTGAGATCTGAACTAAATCGAAGAAATCGAGACTTGATCGAGAAATTCAAAGTAGTGTGAGAATGCATGGCATTCTGGATGGATCAGAATGGTGACATAAGGACTCGAAGGGTGCTTCAATTGTACTCTGCTCATATGGAAAGAATTTTCAGCTGTTCGTAGCCGATATTCCAGCATGTCTGTGTGAACCCTCCCAGTTTTACGCAGACGGAGGGATACGGGAAGAGATCTTGGTGATCCGGAAACACAGCCACATGATCCGATCGTTCGCACGCACATTGCTATTTCCAAATACAGAGGTACCCTCCTATTTTCGCGCCCCATTCCTCTCGATAGCGATTTACACAGAACCACTAGAGAATGTCTGCCTTCTAAACGGTTGATAAAACCAACAGAAACCTTGTCTTCGAATTTCGGTTGGATGTGATTTTTTCTCAGTGGCGTCCGCTGTCCCCCGAATGTACAGCTTACACAACTTTTCACCGTTGTCGATTTCCTCGGAATAATCGTACTTTACCATCTTCTCTGATCGAAATAAAGTTGCACAGACCAGGGTACTTATCCCATGTATGTCTGTAAGTGTGTCACATATCACGCTTGCATTCCTGCCGTTTGAAATATCAGGCATAAATGAACTTCCACGAATCGAGGCAGATCTTTCAATTTAGGTTTTCTCGAATATGATCATTCCTCTGGAGGTCTCCGAGCTGCAGCTTCTATCTATCTGGCAATCGCTACCAGAATTGGATAGCTCAAGGGCTCTATCTATATCGTCCAGCCCGAGAACTTGGGCTCGTCGTGAACTGGTGTTGTCCAGGGGATGAAGACTACTTTCATCTAGTATCATTATCTCACTTTGCTTTACGCAAGATCCGAGCCGAATCTGCCAAACATACTAACCCTGGGCCCGGTAACCTTTTGAAAGATTGTTTGTCCAATACCAGTCAAGTTACAGATTGTGTATTCCGTAATAGTGGCGAGTCCGGTGAGTTGTTAATGTACGAATGCGAACGGTTTTTGAATTTAGGATGGATAACAACCAATCTTGACTATCTCGTGCTCACCATAGCCGTACTTTTTTATACTGGCCCATTTCAATTCTATTCAAGCGGATCCTAATGACGACTGTGGCAGAGTAGCGGCATGAACTATGGCACTCATTCTCGGATATATTGATCATGGTGGTACTGCCGTAAAATCCTTCCACCTACTTCGTGTAGAATATATACATCACCGCTAGCTATCGCACTCATCATAACAACGAAACACTCCCAAGATGCTCCAAGGCTAAGCACTACGGGACCTGCGTTTCCATCAGCGTTGGAACGTTATAGATTTGTTATAAAACACGCTCCGCCCACGAGCCGCAAGAGGACTTGCGTAGTAAGAAATAATTCCGCTCATACTACCGATTGGGATATCCGAGTTGAGCGGAGAATGGGTTGAAGTTGCAGGTTGTTGCAGGCGCTCAACTCGAAGACAAATTAGACAATCAGGCATATCGTCATGCTGCTAAGCTATCAGTTATGAAAGTTCTGCAAGATCTAGATAGATACTACATAGCACCACTTTTTGAAGAGATAACCATCAATATATCATAGATTGTCCGTGCTCGACTTTATAAGACAAAATACAAATGAAAGGACTTATACTGCCTAGCCTGAACCTGAGGTATGCGCCCCAAACTCAGCCCCCTGATCAATGGCACAGCCACGATCGGTGGAACTTTTTTCACCTCTTCCAGCCTCTTCCTCACCAATCACACACGTTTGCATATTATTTGTATTTACTTAATGAATTGTACCGCGTCTACAGACCCCACCCCGTCCCTTCTTTTCGAATATTTTGTTACTTCTTCACTACAAGCTGCATCTTGACACGGGGACTCGGAGAAAAAAGGTCAATTTTCACCTGATGAAACTCGGATGTGACTATAATCGAAACAAATTACTAAGCTTCTTCTATTCCTTCTAAAGGCTTTACACCTAGCACAGGATCCCACATCTCCTGCGTAAATTTTTCCACCCACCTGCTCCGTCGCTTCAAAAACAGCTAGCGTCAAGGCGCCGCGGTGTGGAATCCTCGAGACAGCAATTTAAAGTTTGGTCTACACATATACTTACTTAGATTCTCCGTGGTTTCCACATATTTCTGTCACCAAACTCCACTCAGGTACATAGATCGCTGAGCTGCACATTTTCCGCGGGCGCAGCTTAAGCTTTGAAGCTGAAGCATCCAAATACAATGCGATCCAGTCTCCTAAAAATCCGTATCTCCAGTGCTGATATCACGCACGCAGGGATTCTGATTGTGACTTCTGATGCTCCCTGGATGTCGCAATACTCCTTTCAAGGTTTGAACAATGGCTAAGTATCATTGGACCCTTTTCTTCTTCGGAGACTTGCAGTTCCCCTAGGCTTCCCTGAGATCCGTGGAAGTATAGTCGTTGGCTGATCTAGGGAGATCGATTCACCCCTTTCTCTCCATGTGCGGTGTGGCCTGCAATGCCACCTGCCTTGCGATGATCGTTCTCTACGCTTCCTATGACCTCAGTCTAAAACAAGACGCGAAGACGACATATGTCATTGGATCTAAAATTTGCCTCGATAATCAACCTGAGAATCACTTAAGGGGAGGAACTTTATCTCTTTGGAGCTGAGTAGTAGCATGTTTGTTACCGGAAGATAATCATGTGGACCATCCCTCACTTTAAGTTTGAGAATGACCATGTTCTCACGCCTGAAACCCGGCAAGATAGAGAAAGCGGAATGCTTCACCAAACGCGCAACACATGACAGCCAGAGCAATCAGCGAAGTACCAATCATCATGTCATTAGACACCGGTAAGTCCGTCGTTGTGACGCAATCCTCCATCCTGACAGAAAATGGCATGGCTACTTGCCTGTGCGATGACAGACTAGGACCGTATGCTTTAGACCAAGAAAGAGATTTTGATTTCGGCACATTTTACAACAAGGTAGCTAGGGGTACAATTCGTCTTTCTATAGAAAGCTGACATTAAGCTTGTTTCCACCATCATGGTATAAATTGGACGCACCTACTTCTCTATATGATGGGTTAGTGTACAATTTCGACGGTGAGATCGCCTTGGTTGATGGAGTCGCCTGCACGAAGAAACCGTTAGCTCAGGCCAACCAAAAGAATGACAGATAACATGCCTTCTTGGACAACCACCCGCTTGACGTGTCCAGAAACCGGCGCGGTCACCGCAGATTCCATCTATTGTCGTTTGATCAGCAAAGTGTTATAAGTCGTCATGGATTGCACTGACCTTCATGGCACTCAACACTGTAAACAGGTTCCATTCAGCAAGCGGATGTCTTGGCATATAGAATTCACTCACCGCAAACGGGGTCGCCCTTCTTGATCTCTTGGCTTTCCTTCACCCTTACCTCCACCACGACTCCGGACATTGGAGCACCAACGGAACCTGGGTCCGTAGTGGCCTTCTCCCGCGACACGGTTTCAACAGCAGAATTCTTATCCTCCACGGACACGGCCCGAACCTGAAATAGACCACAGCACGTCAACAGCACGCCGTCAGCCAAGAAAAAGTCACAGTACCTCTCCATTCACTTCGAACCAAACGTCGCGTTGGGCACGCCCTTCGACTACCGGTCCGACGGCCATAAGGCGGATGATCAAAGTCTTTCCCTTCTCAATAGAGATGTGCATTTCTTCGCCAACATCCGGGCGACCCAAGAAATATCTCGTGGGAATGACACTGGGGAAGCGAGTCAACAAATGCATCATCAATTCATACCAGGGACGCACCTCAGATCACCATACTTCTCAATGAATCCCTGATACTCCT